GATCCTGCCTGGACAGCTTCCTTCTATACCTTTCTTCTTGAAGTTCACTCCTACTCACCTTGCAGTTCAAGTGAGAAACCATCTCTAGTACCCCATCCTGATTGAGAAATTATTATTTGTTCTCACCAAACTAGGTTCAGAACATATAAAACCTCAAAGTCTATTCTGCTAGCATTGACTATGAATAGACCTTGCTTGACTTGATATCTCCGTGGTTAACCAGTACATGACAGCTAATGGGCATTCTACCTAGATTTAAAAAAAAAACTGAATAAAAACAATGAATGGATGAGAGGTTGTTCCTCCATTATTTCATCCTTTCGCTGCTTAGTGTTTTCAAAAAGAAAGAGACTGCGTTTCCTTTTTTACAATGATTTCTCCAGGAGTCAAAGTGGCTCATTTGAAGTCTAGGATCAGAGAGCTCATGGTCCCAGCTGAAGCAAAGTGAAGAGCTCCCCCTCCTGGAGCCATTCTTTCTGAGACCACACAGACCCCACCACCCAGTCTGACTCTTCTCCATTCCCATCCAACTGTCCAGGAACACATTCTAGTGGTGATAAGGTTCGTAATATTTTGTATCCATTTGAGGGCTCATAAAATATGAATTTGGGGTAAATTGGTGGAAGGGAATAGTTCTTAAGAGGACATTGAAAAAGTTACAAAGATGTAGTGAAGTACTCCTCTGACATGTACATTTAACAGAGTCCACATTTCACTTCTCTGCCTCACCCAGCTGGAAAGGCAGACTCAGGAGGTGCGGCTCTCTGCAGGGTGCTATTTGACCATCTTTCTGTTTGTTCCCCCCTTCCTGCTACTTTCAATGTTTGATCAAAAGCTCAGTTACTCCAAAGGAAAAGGTCAGGGCAGGCCAGAAGGAGAACTTTCCACGTCTGAAAAAGGAAGCTGGGAGAGATACGTCAAAAATAGTTATTTACTCTTCTTTTCTGATGTTTGGATCCCAACCTGGTTCTGCTCTTTGCCTTGGCCCACCTGCTGCCCCTGTGGGGCTGGGGTAGGACAATAGTGAAGCAGAAGAAATACACTCCTCCGAGTCTGACAGTCACCAGCAAATGAGATTTTTTAAGAATGAGCTACAGTCAGTGCGGATAATGACTGAGACCCTAAGAGAAATACTCCTCTACTTATCTTTTTAGATTCCAACTAAACCTATGTTCTAGTAACAGGTCAAATTTATAATAGTCCAAGTCCCCCATTTTATTCTTTCATTTCACATTACCTCCTTCAGAGCACTTATCAGACTTTTTTTTTTGTTTATATGTTAATATTTTTATACCTCCCCTCCTGAGCAGGTCCCCCAAGAAGGGGACCATGTTTTGTTTTGTATATGAATTTGACTACTTGAATGTTCAATAGAATAGCCTTTAGGGCCTCCCCTGGTGGCGCAGCAGTTGAGTGCTGGGCTGCGAAGCTGCCCGCAGCCTCTGCAGCACCGGTTCAATCCCCGGCCTACGGCGAGGGTCCCACGTGGCACGACAGACCTCTCCTGCTGTGCCCACTGCTCCCCTCAGCAGTGTATTTCATCACTCTGCCTGTTCTGTTCCCTGCTCTGGATCTGATGAATTCTCTCACTCTCCTGCACTTCTGACTGTACCCAGTGCTTGTATAAATAAATAAATAAAAATCTTTAAGAAAAAAAAAAAAAAATAGCCTTTAAGCAAATTTTGGCACTTGTTAAGTATTTTTTGAATGTTGAAATGAAATTTTCCAAGTTTATCTATTTTAACTTCCTAAATCTATTTTTTAAAAAAAGCTGCTTGTAAAAAATGGCCTCTGAGACAGGCAAACTTCAAAAGTTGTGTGTGTGTGTGTGTGTATGTCCACCACAATAATGAATATAAGGTGCTAGTAATAAATGATACAAATATTTTAAAACTTATTAAAATGCCATAAGTGAAGGTGGGGGGTGTTGTTAATGCTCACAGTGGTTACTAATTTTTGTCATACTTTTGATTAAAAATAAGTAACTCAGAATTTAGAGGAGAAATATGCAGTATTTTCATTTGTATGAGTGTAAATTTTCCAATTATATTATAATCTTATAACAAGTGCTATGAGTTAGTAAAGATGGACTGTGTAGCACGTCTGCACATGGCATTTCCCAATGTCACATGGTGTGAGATTTGACAAGACCAAAACACAATGCCTGATCTTCTGACTTCGAGCAGAGCATGTTCTCAGCCTGGCATATAACCCAGCACATTTATTCAGGGACTAGATATTGTGCTTGTGCTAGAACTGTGATTTCTGATTGTAGACCCTGTTTTGAAAACCGCACCCAAAATATAAAGAGTAGGTTGCTAGATAAAAGATTAATAGTGAAAAGTCAATTTTATCTTCCTATAACAGCAACAGATTTCTTTTTAAAGATTTATTCATTTATGCATACAAGAACTGGGGTACAGGCCAGAGGTACAGGGGGGTGAGAAGATTCACCAGAGACAGAGTGGGGAACAGAACAGGCAAATGGACTGAAGTACACTGCTGAGGGGAGCAGCAGGCGAGTCAGAAGAGATCTGCTGCGCCACGTGGGTAGCTCCCTGGCCGGGGATCGAACTTGTGCTTTAGTGGCTGCGGAGAGCCTCATAGGCTGCGTCCCAATCCCTTGCGCCACCAGGGAGGCCCACAGCAATATATTTTAAAAGCATTTTGGTTGAAAAATTATACAATTTTAATGAAGACCTATATAAACTGAGAGAAAACTTGTGTTTGCAGAAAAGATGACTTAATATCATAAAGATGTAATTCTCACCATCTGAGCTATGGAGTGAATGTAATTCCAATTAAAACACCATAGGTTTTACCTTAGCAATTTGGTTCTGAAATTTATTTTTAACAGAGAGCACCCAGAATATTCAAGAGACTCCTGAACAAAAACTGGAGAAACATGTTCTACCAGGTATCAAGACACTGGATAAACACATGGATATGAGGGCTCAGAAACATACTTGGTGCATATATGAACATGAGACATGGCTAGATGCTTGAATAAATGTGGTGGAGCACTGGCTACTCACAGGAAACAAAGGACCATTTCTTACAAGCAAAAAGTAATTTCTTATGGATTAAATGCTGATATATGAAAGGCAGCATTAAATTTTCTGGATTCAAAACATCTTTAACAGCTCAGGGCATGGAGAGAGCATAAGCCATAGGGAAGCTTGATAAATCAAGTATATTAATTATTTTAATTACTATATTCAATATATGAAAAGCCACAATCCTGAAAATATTCGCAACATACAAAATTCACAGAATATAAGAATCTATTAAGAACCCATAAGAATAAAAAAATTCTATGCCATTTCATATTTATCAGACTGACAAAATTAAAAAGCCAGCAAGGATGGAAGGCTTTGTGTCTACCAATCAATGCACAGATCACTTAAAAAAAAAAAAAAAAAAAAAACCTAGCACATATGCTGGTGATAAAACCTGCTTTTTAAAGTCCTAACAACACATATATAATTATGACATTAACTCCTTCCATTAAGATTCTTTAGAGGGTCCTCTCTGGGGACTTAGGGATTAAAGCTCAGCGCTATCAATGTGAAGACCCACCACAATAGCCTGAGTTTGATCCCCGGCCAGGGAGCTACCCACATGGTGCAGCAGACCTCTCCTGTCTCGCCTACTGCTCCCCTCAGCAATGTACTTCAATTAATCCGCCTGTTCTGCTCCCCACTCTGTCTCTGGTGAATCCTCTCACCCCTGCAACTCTGGCCTGCACCCCAGTTGTATACAAAAATAAAATCTTAAAAGAATTCTTTAGAATAACTTTCAATGGCAATATTTTGTCATCACATAGAAGATAAAAGAGGGCCAAAGAGGGCCTCCTTGGTGGCGCAAGGAGTTAAGACGCAACCTATGAAGCTGTCAACAGCCTCTGCAGCACGAGTTGATCCCTTTTACCAGGGAGCAACCCACATGGCGCAGCAGACTTCTCCTGCCTCACCCACTGCTCCCCTCAGCAGTGTGCCTCGGTCAATCTGCCTGTTCTGTTAGCCACTCTGTCTCTGGTGAATCCTCTCATCCCCCACACCTCTGGCCTATAGCTCAGCTCTTGTATGCATAAATAATCTTAAAAAAAAAAAATAAAGGATAAAAGAATATGGCTAATTGCTCCTATACAAAAATATCTGTGTACATCTTAAGATCAATTCCTAATGGTAGACAAATTCAATGTGGGCTTGCCAAATAGTCCTCCAAGAAATATTACTAATTTATATAGTAGCATGAGCACACTTTTCCTCAAATAATCTAAAAACAAACTTTGCCAGATTTATAAGTAAAAACATGTACTGTGAATTTTTAATTTGTACTGATTTACGCAATAGTGAAACTGAATATTTTTTATTTACTGTTCACTTAGTTTCAGTGTGGTTTACTTGTTTAAATTCTGCTCATTTTTCATTTTTGGAGGTCACTTCAGTCGTCTTTATATATTCATACTTTCTCCACCAGGTATATTAAACTTTTTCATTTACCATCTACCCTTTACTTTTGTCTTGGTTGGTTTGATTAAGGTTTCAGATTTTTACATAGTCAAAGCTATCTTTTCCTTTCTGACTTCCTTTCCTTTCGGTTAAACAATTCTTAATGTCCATATTTAAAGACTTAACTCTGTTTTGTGCCCCTACAGTAAAAATCCTTCATCTAAATGAAGGCAATAGCCCCTTCCTCAAAGGGTCATTGTGAACATTAACTAAGATAACTTATACTAATGTGCTTTGTAAATAGTAAAGCAACATATAAATGTCAATTACCAGCAGCCCCTCAATACATGGCAGTTATTAATACCACATGCCCATCGACTGACAGAGTTTATAATTACACGCAGGTAACCTAAGCAGATGTACTTGGGGGTAATGGAGTCTGAAAAGCTAATGTACTGTAAGGCACATGGAAGAGCTTCTCACAATCCTCGCCTGGTTCCAGAACACAGAGTCATGTCAAAGGTCCCAGACGGCGGGGGCTCTTACCTCGCTTACTCGTCCCCTTCCTCCAACTCAGTTTCTTTGTGCACCACCACTCTTGTGACCGACATGTCGGGGTGCTGCTCTCTGGCTTCCCTGATGGCCTGGGCCAGCGCCTGCCGGATCAGTAGAGAGCATGGTTAGCTGAGGACGGGCTCCTTCTCAGAAGGCAAAACACAAGCTCGTGATCAATGAGACCCCATGTCAAGTCCAGTTTTATTTCTTTATTGGATAAAGCAGAAAGATCTGAATGGGCTTAATGTTTAAAGGGTGCTTCTCATTTCCTCATGTTTTCTACTTCTCCAGTCTATTTTCAAACAATGATACACGTACAAAAACATGCTGGCAAATGCCAGCCTTGAACTCACCTAAGACTTAAGAGAAAACACCTTCTCTGGCTCACTTAGGATTTTCACCTGTAACTGGAGACTAATGCTAAGGTTCTCAAGATCCTTTTAAGGTGTACCATATGGATTAAAGGAAGTAAAGCATCCAGCATAGGGCCTGCTCCATACATGCAAGTGATACCGCCATTATTATGCCATTGCTTGAAACCCCCAAGGCACAGGACCAGGCCTTGCTCATCTTTGCCCTCTTAGGTGCTCAGAAATTTTGGAGAACATTGCAGGAAAAATATAAACGTCTAGGGCATAGAATAATGAAAACTGCAGCAACACCACCACCATATGGTCAGTAAAGCTAAAGAAGAGAGGGTAATCTTTATTTTTTTTAAAGATTTATTTATTTATTTATACAAGCACTGGGTATAGTCAGAAGCATGGGAGAGTGAGAGAATTCACCAAAGCCAGAGCGGGGAGCAGAGCAAGCAGAAGGACCGAAGTACACTGTTGAGGGGAGCAGCGGGCGGCAGGAGAGGTCTGCGCGTCATGTGGGACCCTCCTCTGGTGGCCGGGGAGCAGCCGGGGATCGAACCAGCGCTGCAGAGGCTGCGGGCAGCTTCGCGACCCAGCGGTCAATCGCTGCGCCACAGGGGAGGCCCCGAGGCTAATCTTTAGATTATAAAGTACAGATCCCTGTTTTATAGTTGAAACACCTTTCAGCTATATGTATATATGTATAAAAGGTGAATGAATCTTTTTCAATGCCATCCTCTCAGGGTGCCATAGGGCAGGGGGGTTGGTGCCTGGTTGCCACCTCACTGGCTCATGTCTCTTCCCTGGACCAACAATAAGATAGCAAAGTTTCTCTGTGTTTTATCAGAAAAGAAACTGTTTATGAGTGTAATGGCAAAGTGAAAAAATCCTATTTTTCAGAGGATAAATATCTTTAAGAGGTCTTGGGGAGAAAATAAAACACCACAGAACAACACTCAAAACCTAGGAAATAAAGCTTAAGCAAAAAACTAATTCTACGGGGAGAGAGAGCACCAAATCTCACTTGGAAACTATGAGCCTGTAAAAAAGTAGCATTTTTTCACCCAGTTCTGTCTCCTGCCTACAAGGACAACTGAATTTCTTCTTTATACCATAGTTTCTGTCTGCTAGAAGGTTACTGAGTAAAACTCTGGGCCTCAGTCCACAAAGAAAAGGTAAAGCTACAAAAGAAGATATCATTTTTATACCAAAACTTTTTATGCTGATGCTTGAGACACTTGAGGTCACTTTATGTTCACAAGGGGACAAATGTTGGTGAACCACTGTGTCAGGACAAAAGAGAATGCAGACAAGGGACTAGCCTCCCATTTAGCACACATATGACTATCAGGTGGGGAGAGTATGAAGGCTGCAGGGCAAGAGTGGAGCCCAAGGAGATGAAGAATTTCATCTCAGAGAAGGTCAAAGAATCTCATCTCAGAGAAGGTCAAAAGTACCCCATGTATTGACTGCGATGAGAATGGAGAAAGGTGCCAAAGTACAGCAGTGTGACTCTATGGGGGTCTGGGGGTGTGTGTTTAGAGGGGGAGAAGGAGATTGGCACGATCAAAACTTCTACTAAATTTCTGGAATTCAAACTGCGAAAGATAAGCTTTGACAGGAGCCAAAGGAAGCAACACACATCTTAACAGATACTTTGTGCTTATATTAATTACAAAGATCTGCCTACATTAAACTAATGCAATTGCTAAAGAGGAAATATAAATGATGCCCAAGGGAAGGCAGCATGTGCAAAACATGATTTAATTAGTAGAAAAGTAGGGGAAACCAGAAAGTGCTATAATCATCTTCAAACACATTTGAAATTAGTTTGCCATTAATTCCGTAATATTAATATATGAAATTAAATAATGCAAAATGTTAATATATTACGGCAACAATAGATTATAAGAAAACTGTCACACCAGAACAGTTGTTCCTTGCTATCTAGGGGTTCTAGAACCTGCTTATGCTCAAGTCCCTTACATAAAATGGGGCTGTATTTGCATATACCTATGCATATCCTCCCTATATTTTAAATCATTTCCAGATTACTTATAGTACCCGATGTAGTGTAAATGCTATGTAAATAGTTACACTATTTTGTTTAGGGAATAATGACAAGGGGAAAAGTCTGTACTTGTTCAGTACTGATGCAACCATCGTGGGCTCAACCATAGGGTACACATTTTCCATCTGTGGCTGGTTGGATTAAGGGATGTGGGGCCGACTGTACTGCTAAATTGAGAAGTTATTTTATTAGAAAGAAATACACTGTGATGAGCGACTGCAGTGCTGTTTAAATCTCACTTGAATGGAGCTGAAAATATTGTAACTAGCACAGAGGGAAGAACGGCAAAGCAAGTTGTTCTAAAAGCACACACCTCTTTCATTTAACACAAAAGAGATTTCTTTCTTTTCTATCTTCCACTGTGAAGCTTCTTTAATGTAGGCAAGGAACTGCAAAAGGTGTCAACGACGTTAAGGTCACCACATGATCAACATCAACTTTTGGCAGGGAAGCGACTTCCCTTTAGTTTTAAATAATTCCCTCATCTCCTGATAGTCTTGAAGGCTGAAGTGAACTCATCAGGAGCTCCAGGTAACAAGCACACCAGAAGCCACAATTAAGTGACTCAACAAAGCTGATGCCATCTCATAACTAAACATGAGAAAGTTAATTATTCTCTGGATTTGTTCACATCTGACCTGGGTTTTAAAATGGGACAGAGCACATCATACAAACAAGGTGTGTTCCTCAATGCAACAATTTAAGTTGTGACATCCTTGTGATTTTTCTCTAATTTAAGAATTAGGAATAGGTGCTATTTTGTAGTTTCTTTTCAGACTACATTTTGAGTATTTGACTGTCAGCAGCACTACCAACTGGGTTTGAGTTTTCAAGTAAAACAGGCCAACAAACAGAAGAATGTACATAGAGCAAAAGTGGAAAGTAATCCCTAGGGGGAAAAGAGGTGTCTGCAAGCCAGAGAGGGCCTAGGTTCAGTGGAGAGAGAGGGTAGTAGAAACTAAATTGGGGAAGACCCCGATTTTCACTTAGCCCTATGCCAAACAATGTGGGTTCTTGCCTCCAACACTGTAAGGTTTCAACAAGTGCTTGTCAAGTGAGAGTTCCAAAGGAAAAAATAAAGAATAGGCTTGCTCCTACTTAAGGTCAGGGTGATTACAACCGTCCCGGTGAAAAGAAGTCCAGTCATACATAGCTTAATGCCCAGGAAAGGTGAGAAACGCTCCTGGGTGTGCGTCAATGCTTGAACTTTATCAGGGAGTGCAATTACACACAGCTAGGTGGTCCAGGTACCACACACCCAGGCTTGATGTGACAGCCTGTGGAGACCACTGTCATATACACGGTCTGTCATCGACCAAACAACCCTAAGCAGCTGCTGTAGAATAAATCCTCCACGTGGGAAACTGGAGGTTTGATTTCCACAGAGGTCACTCATTTTCCAGGGGTTAGCAGGCACATGTACTAGTCCTTGACCAGGAATCTCTACTAGGAAGTCAAAATGCAGTCAGGGCAACCTTTTAACCCTTAAAACAATCAAGGTATTTAAAAGGTATGTTATGAAATATGTAAGTAAAATCATGCTAATGGGATTTTAAAAAGTAGGATAATTTTCTTTTTAGGCATAAAGGAAAAAAAAAATTTGTTGTCACATATAATGAGCCTTTCTTCAATAAGAAATCGTTTTTTAAAATTCTCTTCCCCGCGTTCAATATTGCGTAAAAAGCTGGGTGACTACCATGAGTTCCTAATCCCCAGCTGACATGATCAATTGAGCATTTCCACTCCTTCAAGTTGTTGTAAAAGGAAAGCAGCTTGGTCTCCTTTAAAGCTGAGTTAAAAATCACTCAGAAAATAACAAAATAAAACCCCTCATCATCACATAGGACTGTAGAGGAAAATTAAGCCACTCTTGAAGTCTCCAGCAGTTCTATTCATCACCTGCTTTTGAAAGGCAAACATTCTGCTCAACTTAACATTGAGAATGGAAGCAGGAGGCTTTCAGAAATTCTGAATATATGCAAATGTTCATTTTGTTAAGTGACCTTCGATTAATTCTAGTTCTCATGAATTGCTTATTAATGCCTAGATTACTGAAATAAATTTTCTTAAAACTTATTAAAATCTATTTAAGTATTTAAAAAAGAGAAAGACCTTAGGTTACCTTCTCCCACCCCTCATAAAGAGTAACAAGGTAGGGGAAACCACCTAGAAGTAAAGAGCCCAAATTTTCTATTGCTATTAACAAAGGTACTTTATGAGTTCCTAAGAGTCCTAAGTCAAACTTAGTGGCATTTCTTATTTTTTTAGAAGCCAGTGTCATTAAACTGCCACTTCTGTTTTCAATAGTTGATGACTTGTCTTTAAACCAGAAACCACATAAATACATAATGGCTGCCAGGAATGCTCTAGACTATATTGAACCAAAAGTGCATATAAAGCAAATGTACATCAACAGCAATCCATGTTTTATGCTGATTCAGCATTAAGAAGACTGCAAGGACCACTGTGTGAAAGCTGCACCTTCATGCCATTCATCACAATGCAATACAATGACAGATGTGCAAACGAGAAATCAAGCACAATTAATTACTTTCAGAATCAAAAGGCTTTACCTCATCATGGTCAATATCTGCATCTCCTGTGATCACGATGCGCTTCTCAATTCTTGTTTCAGATATTCCACCTTTTACAGTCTAAAAGTCATAAAGGGGTGGGGAGAATATCAATCACTAAAGCATGTTTTATACAGAATCATAGAAAACAGATGGAGCACACCTAGACCTTCTCTTCACCCTAAGGCAATGCACAGTGAGTGGAGAGGGCTTATGTTCTAGAAACTTTCTTAATCGTATATGGTTTCTATTGATAATAGATGAAATCCCACAGATACAATTGGCATCTACATGTGATAGGAAGAATCCTCCAGGGTGAGGGAAGGTAGACAGGTGTGTATGCAGGAAAGGGAGAAGAAGAGCCCTTCAGGAGATCAGAAGTAGAGAGCTGGACCTACCAGGAAAGCCAGACATGATTTAAGGGTGTCTGTCATTCTGGTTCCCTGAGCGGGCTGCTCTGACATCCAGGGGCTACCTTAGCCAATGGGAAGTGCGTAGAGAGACATGGACAGTGGACAGGTATTTGAATGAGCAGCCAGTGGCTGGGGTAGGGGTGGGGGTGGGGGGGACCAGGGTCTAGGACAACTTACACCTGGAAACACTATTTCTAAGTTCTAAAGACAATCCTATTATACAACTTGTAGCATCCTTAAATATTCTTTAACTGAAAGCAATCTTAAAACTAATTTATAAAGATTCAGATGAAATTAAGATGGTACAGATGTCAGTTAATCCAAATAATTCTATGGGACATTCCATTAGAATTTTTTGAGCTTCTTCACTCCCAGTTTGTTGTTGATTTTTAAAAGATTTATGCATAGAAAAACAGGGTGCATTACAGAGGTGTGGGGAGGGGAGAGGATTCACCAGAGACAAGAGTGGGAGCAGAACAGAAGGATTTACTGAAATACACTGCTGAGGGGAGCAGCGGGCGAGACAGGAGAGGTCTGATGTACCACAGGTGGGCAAGCTCCTTGGCTGGGGAAGCAAACTCATGCCAAAGCGGTGGTAGCATGATAGCACCGAGACTTAACTGCTAGGCCATCAGGGAGGCCCCAGTTTGTTGATTTTTGAAAGGAGAAGAAAAAAGAAATAATTGCTTGGTTTCTGTAGAATTACAAGGAATCCTAACAATTTAGGTATCTTGTTCAGGTTTGGGAAATTGCCTGGTTATAGTTTTGACATAAATCCATTTGGTGATTTGGTTCATTTGTTTTAGGGCAATAATAAAACACAGTTGTGCGTGTGTACACGTAGTGTGGGTGAACAAAGGCTATGTGAGGGGCTGGGCAGGAGTTCTTGGTGAATTGTGCAGAGGTACTAGCTTAGAGCAAATGGAAAGAGCCTGGGGCATTACAGAGGTGGACGAGATCACATGGCTGTGACGTTCGAAAGACACAATGAGCAAACACCACACAGTCCTGAGAAAGCCCATGTCCAATCTCTACAATGCTGATAAATTCACACACTAAACACGCATGATGACACTTTACCATAAGACACAAGGCTTTTCACTAAGCTCAATAATTAGGCTTTAAAATGAACACCAATGCCCTCTTGCATTTACATGGCATTTTGAAAAATCAAACATTATCATTTTATCTATTTGACTCAAATGTACACTTATTTTGTTTTTTACTTTTAATACTTTTAACTGAGGTAATATTAGGATACCCCCACAGGTATTGCCTCGGTGGCATTTTTTAATTTACAAGATTTTTGTTACAACACGGGTGAAGAGAGCGCAAAGGATACTACTAAGACCTTCAAGCACTAACCAAATGTGTGAAGAAACAAAAAGTAATGTTGGAAAATAAATCTGGAGTTAGAAATCTGATGACTGAGACTCTCATCAAAATCACCCAGAGAGCTTAAAACACTCCCAGGTTTTGGTGGACCTGGAGTGAGGCCACAACAGTCACACTTCTAACAAGTCCATAAGTGAGGTTGCAGCTGCCAGCCCAGAGACCAACTTTGGGAATCACTGGTCACCTGGTATTAAACATTAAGAGAACGATGGAAAAATGCCTCATTATATTGGCATCTTAAATCAATGCAAGGCTATTTACATTTATTGGAACAACTTGTGTGAATTCTGGATGACGGTCTTCAGTCACTTGCTTCAGTCAGAGGGCTCGTTTGTACTAACCAAACCTGTGCTTCCACTTTTATTAAATTCTCTCCAAATCCGTAGCTGTCTTAAGTTACTCTAACATACATTTACCTCCTTGTACTTTAGAAAATTGCAATTCATTTTAAATACATTCGTCAATGGAGCCTAATTTCTTGTATACTTGAATCAAGACATTTTTATTCCACTGGCACTGTCTGTGTATTACTTTGAATACACAACTCATTCCCCTGGGTTGCTTTACCTTGGTGATGTGTGTGGTTGTTGTTGTCGACACGGAATCAGATGTGATGGTTTGTGCAGTCAGTAACGTGCCCGAGTCACCACCAGCCCCGCCATCAATCTTTGGATAGTTGGGGGAAAAATACAAAGCAATGCTTAACTTCCATTATGTTGCCAGAGAAGACCCCTCCCCACTGAATATGCATCTTTTAAAAACTATATGGCTGGCAGAAGATGATGCCTATCCTTTGCATGCTTGCTATGGTAACGGACTGCCAGGAGACTAGCTGGCATTTAAAGAGTAAAGACAACGGCTAAGTATCTGTGTAGAAGCATCCCCATGGTTAAAGAACAAAGAAGGAAGAGTGGAAGAAGGTGCAACTAAAAGCCACAAGAGAGTCATGAGAAGATCTGAGTGAAGGCCATTTAAGAAACTAGAAAGACTCTAGAGAATCAGACAGAGATGTTTCCGCAGTGGCCAAAAGTGCTAAGCTTGTTGTTTTAAGAACAGGTAGGTAAATAATAGATAACTCAGATTACTAAGCAATAAAACCTGACCAAGACAGACTGAACTTGAGTAATTTTTTTTTTTTTTAGCTCCTGTAGATTTTTTAATATTGTTGCTGTAACTGTTTGTGTGTTGTGAGCATATATATGGTACATATACTTCAACACATATACACGCATGTTCTATCTATGTACAAGCACCTCATATATAAATCCCATGCATCTATCTAAATTGGTTTCACTTATTTGCTTTGATCCTAGAAAAGGTTGAAAGTTCCAGAGTTTACCAAGGAAAATAATGAAGCAAACCAATAGCTTAACAGTTTATGTTAAGATCACCAAACATATTTGCCTTGTTTCCTGACACTGACTGCAGGAAATAACTAGAAGGTCCAGAGCCTTTTTGACTATAAATTAAGCAGAAATTTCCCGTGAACTTGGGTCAGGCCCATTTATTTCTTTATGAGGCACTTACTTCATCACAAACACCGAGTACGTGTTCTCCTACGAAACCCATTTATAAGAAATCAGTTTGTGCTTATGTGGGATCTATGCACATGTCTGGACAGTATGACTTAAATAATTTTGAGGACTATTTCACATATACACCCATTAACCTTTAAAAAGAATATTCTGGAGGGCAATAATCCATAGTACAGTCCTACAAAAAAATACTAAATTCCTAAGTTTATAAAACAGTTGTACAAATTTCTAAATGATTCTATTTTGAAATGATAAACACATTCTTTTTTATTTCTTTGTCACTCTTATGGTTAGATACCTTAATGCTTATTTCAAATCTTTACAGAACCAGTGTCAGAATACCTAAAATCAACTACACAAATCTGATAGTTACAGAGATGCACAGCATTGCATTTACTTAAGAATGATGACATACATCTTCAAAAAATCATCCCATGTGAAGAAGCACAGTATGTTTGTGTACTTATGCATGTAACTGGCAAGCGAAAGTTGACTGGATCTGCCTTCATGGAGTTTGGGGTACCTAAATCTACTAACCCACAAGTGATACCAAATGCAATAAACTGTAAGATGATCTGTTTCCCAAGCACACATGCCTCCCCCTTATAATTGGGTGGTCACACATTGGATTGCAGCTCTGTCTCAGTCTAAGAAGTAACACAGCAAACTACATTGTTGTTGAAGTACAGCTATAAAATGAAGAGATTAAAAAGCTACGCTAAAGCCAGAAACATAAGAACTAGAAGATGGAATGAAAACAGAAACAGGAAGTAACAGAGTTCAGAGAGTCCGAGTCTAGAGCTTCTGTACCTGTGAAGACTCATATGTGATGGTTTTGGTCTCAGTTTGGACAATAGGGACTTCCTTGGTGGAGATTTCTGTCCTTTGTGAGGCATCAGAAATTGTTACCATCTCTGTTTTTACCACTGGTGGCTGAGGTGGAAAAGGAAGGGAAAAATAAATTCTAGAGCTGATAAAGTAAAAGTGATTGGTGGAACCTTCAAAAATAGTTGTCAGAAATATATCCAAACACATGCTCATGCACAAAAGAAAAAGAATAAAAGTAATTTAAAACAAACAAAAGAGACAAAAGAAAAACATTTTTCTTCAGACAGTGTGTATCTGAAGAAGAAACTAAGAGCTCCTTGAATTGTGGCATGCTTCAAATTATGCTGATCCCAAATTACTTAGAAGTCAAGTTTGGTGTGCAGTGATACATAAAATTCAGCTTTGGGCAAGTAAAACTGAAAAGAAAACAAAACAGAATGAACGATGTGAAGTGACCTGCCTTGATGTTTACTGCTGTTTAAAGAACCACACAGTTTGTGTGAAGGCTCATTGCCTCTAATTGGCACGCCGGGCAGGCAGGTTAAGACTTGCTATTTTCCTTAAGTTTTTCTGCCCTATTGACAAGGAGATGCCATTTGTAGAAAGAAAATCTTCAAGTACCATTGCTTTCAATTAATACTTGTCTAAAACTTGCAGTGCTTCTTATATATTTTATATAAGTTAAAATTTATAGCTAATATAATTCCACCAAAGAAACATTGCGTTAATGCTTTGAGCAATTAAAACATTAAAGGAGGGGCACTGCCCACCAGTGCTATAATCTGCTGAGCAGGCCATAATACTCCTCCAGACTATATTAGTACCTAAATACTATAGTACTTTTGAGAGAATATACCCTAGTGTACTTATTTAAAGAGGAACAACCACATATTAAATGCAGAAAACCATAGTTCAGTGTTCAAAGACTCCTGAAATGTCTTCCCTGAAGTGAAAAAGAAGTTTAAAAGTAACACAATACATATCCACTCAATTATGTCAAAACAAAGGCAAAAGAGAGCAAGGACAGATAATCCCTACATTGTGGTATTTTAGATTCAAGAAAACATTTGCATGGCAGTAAATCCTCCCTCAGCATAACTTTAACTCCATTCAGAGATACTGCACCAGCGACCAAGACAATCTAAAAGGAGTGTGGAAAGTTCTTTTTTTGAAGAGAAAAAGGAAGATTCATCCAGTGTAGATAATCCACAAAACATATTGGCAAATAATCCAGAATGGGAAGAGAAGGGGGTTCTATTCAGCAGTCTAGTTTACTGATGCTTTGAAGCAAAGAAAAAGCTCTTAACTAAATCATACAACTCCTGAAATCTGAAATCACAGGGTAAATCAAGAAGTACTGTTTTCATCCCTGTGGAAGGTGAATTTAGAATACATGGTATTCAGAGCCTGCTGCCAGTTCTATGAATCTTAAAGAGAGAATGAGCCAGAAAGTCCAACCCAGTCATGACAAAAGCAACACACACACTCATATAGGCCATTTTACATACAGGGTTTTCTAATAAACCAAAGAAAAGGGCATTGATTAAGAAGAAGCAGTGCAACTAAGGACAAACAGTGGAAAACAATCAAAACATGCAAGAAAAACTGAAATGTGAAATGACAAGGGAAAAAAGATGAGGTCGCTGTAGGAAAGTCGACTCTATCAAGTGATCCAGGTGCAATAAAGAAGGTAGAAAACACGAGCCGAGCTGGCAGAAAGTACAAAGCCGTGCTCTCCCCTTTCCTCCCGTGAGAGATAAAAATCTTGCTGAAAAAGCTGAAGGAGAACTGGGAGGACAGGAGAAGAAGACAGACAGGTGGTTCTCCACCTGAGAAATAGCTCGAGAGTTTAGCTCCCCCTTGGGATGCTCATTTACCTCTGAACAACAAATAATTTGTGGCAAAACATCAATGTCAACATGAGACACCTCTCCGTTAACTTTATGCTGCTCGTCCTCTGTTTCTTCTCCCATGTCTTGCTTAATAGCGCCTTCGTGTACGCTCTTCTCGGTGAGTATCTTTGGGGCAACTACATTTTCCTGGATCTCTGTTTCTACCGGGAGCTCACTGGCCCCTGCTTGTTTGACTGGGCTGGCTTCTGGCTCTGCTTCCTCCCTCCTCTCTACTACCTTGGCAGCAGGGCCGTGCTCTTCCTCCACCTCTTCGTCATATTCCTCCTGCTCCTCCCTGATGGTGCCCTCGGTCACTCGGTGGTGGGGCCGGTACTCGCCCACATCTTCCTCCTCGCTCTCACTGCTGCTGCTGCTCTCAGAAGACAGGGAGGTGGAGTCTTTCTGTGTCAGAGGCTCCACCTTACGAATCTCCCCAGGACCACTCCCAGGTGAGATCTCTTTACCGTTCATTTCTTCTGTGATTACTCTTTCGTCTTTCCCAACCTCCGCCTGCTGCTTCTCCTCCACTACATTCAGAGTCTCATGTGAACTCTGCACAAAAAAAATAACGGATGAGGGGAAACAAAAATATATAAATAAATCAAAACGACGGCAACCAAAATGAACGGATGGTAGGTTCATGTCATGGAGAAAAACAAAGATGATTATGATGGCTGACTGAAAGGGAAGCGGGGGAAACGTGAGGGAGGTGAGAAAAGTTGGGCAATGGTGTTAACATGGAAAAGGGGAGAACCTTAACAGCATCACTGGCTCCAGCGCAAGGCCCTTCAGACTCGGGAGCGCGGTTCTGCGGAACAAAAAGCAACCGAGGACACAAAATCAATAAAGTTTCACCTCAACACCCACCAAGACAAACATCTGACACTGCAAAGACAGAGCAGCAAGAACCAACAACGACAACAATCCTTTGTTCAAGGTCACATAGAGGACAACCAAGACAAATGCTAAAAGCTTACGATAGGAAACAAAACCAGCCAGCAACCTCCCAAAGAAATAAAATGCTTTTATTGTTTTTACACCTGTAAAAGCTGTACTTGAGTTGAAAACGTAGGGGAGTGAGGGGGAGAAATGGAATTACGCCAATAGCTTGGTGATTGTTTACATTTAAATCTTAAAAATCTAAAAAAACTATTCAACACCTTTGGTTTTAATAATCCGATCATAAAACCTAGCTGGAAACCCTGATTCCTAACTGAATAGGGAATGAATGACATGGTGGTCCTTATTTTTTGTCTGGCTCACTTAGAAAACAGATTCTTTAGTTGGTAAAATTGTGGTCTCACATGGTCATGAACATAAAAAACTGTTGACGTTTCAGAAACAGTGATTAACATCCCACACAGTGTTACAGATTAGCAAAAGGGTACAGTAACATTAGGGTAAACTGGATGTCGGTGAGGGCTCCAGGTGTTTTTCCTTAGGATTTAGCTTCTCCACTAGATCTTTGAAAGCTGAAATGGACCTAAGTTTATTATTTCAGATGTTCACTCTGTTCCCTGCAGACATCACTTTCTTTAGAAGTAAATTCACTCAAGTTTACTATAGTACTTAAGTGTGCAGTTAGTACCTATTGATCAAATGCATTAATAATATAACTTACTATGTTACAGTGTTGATAACCAGGGCAGAATAAACACATTCTCACTAAGAATTTTACAACTATAAGAAAGCTTACAATGTTCCCTGAGAAAAAAAGGGCACTTTTCACTAGTACAAATAAAACCCAGGCAATTTTTTAACATTTAGGTGATACTATTGCCTCCAGTATAACTTTAAAACAATTCAAGGAGAGATAGCAGCCCCACTTATTCAAGAAGGTATATCCATGCTTTATAAAGAAGGGCACTGCAACCTCTGGACTCTCTGGGCAGAGATGAACCCTATAAATTTGCCAAGATACTACATGGATGGGAGCTATCTGTTCCATATAAGTAACAGCAAATTTCAGGTTTATATGCCCCAGCAACACAGACAAAAGGGCACACTTCTCAGCAACTATCATTGTACAATCACACATTCTCTTTCATCCTTGTTATTATTCTTGAAAGAATGGTACGGACATGGTTTCATTGTTCAAATTACCATATACATCATGTTACTGACAGAACAAGACAGTCATCTTTTCAGCTTTATTGAAAACCCAACTGTGTCAAATATTAAATTGGAAAATTTTGAATCCATTTGGATAAATAAGTAACACCTAACTGGAACTACGCATTGATGTTTACACATAAAGATATCCAGTGATCAGAACATTTCTAAAGCAGACATTTCATGATTACAGGTCAGTGTTACTTAACCTTAAATGGCTGGGTAGATTCTGCCCAATTTCAAGGAATCCCTTTGAGTCATTGAGAAAAATGAAAATGATTTCATTGAATATAACAGGTCTTTTGATTTTTTTAAATATGGTAAGCAGAGTTTATAAAATAAGGCATCGGAAGATATGAGAAAGATGTAAGCCCTGAAAAATTTTAATTTGACAAAACATTCTTAGCTTCTACTTTGTTGCAGGTTTCCTTCCACGAAACAACTTAAGACTATGGGTTTAAATGATTCTCTGAATTTAGGCAGATTTGAGGCTAGGGCACAAAAGAAACAGGAGAAACATCCAATCTACTTTTTCCTCACGTCCAAATTTGGTGATTATTTCTTGAATGTTTCTCCCAAAAGAGTTAGTTTCACCAATGAAAGCACTGGAGGGAAGGGTTCCTGAATACTGGAAAAATGAAAATCACTCTTGTATGTGGCTTTTAAAAAACAGGGGAAACAAAGTAAAATGCACCTCAGGCAACTGTAAGAAGGGCCAGGAAGAAAGCTTTTCAGTAGGTGCATTATAGTTCCCAACAGTGCCCTCTGCTGTCCAAGTGGTGGCTGAGGTGAAGGTGGCGTTCATGCTAAGAGAAAAGCCCTTTTCACTAAACAAAATTGATGTTATCTCCTCTTCTAGGCTCTAGAGAGGTCAGAAAGGAAGAGCACAGAATTAACAATAAGTCAGAACAGACAACAAGCAGTGACCTATTAAAAGAAAGGAAAGGTTACACAAGAAAGAAATCACAGAACAACAAACTGAAAGAAAGGTGAGGAATCGGAAAAAACGCAGCAGCGGATGTGGCAGAGTCCTGAATGCCAGCTTCCATCCTGTTTGAAAATCTCTGACAGCTGAAACTTATGGAAACCAGCTAAACTCCAGAATTTTCACTGAAGTTTTATCATAACTGGGTACAACCTATCCATCCAATCAAACACTATTTTGCTTATTTTTGTGGCAGCTTCTTGGAGAGTGTCTGTACAGAATGGCCTCTTAGCAGACCCCAACCTTGCAACACTTATTCCTGTGTTAAAATTTGGATGCCCTTATTCTGCTGCCTCCAATGCCTTCCCCTAGTCACTCTGGACCTCACCAATTCTGCCATTTCTCTGTAGTCCATCTAATATCCCATATTTTGTGCATAGGCTTCTTTAACCATTCCAGCTCCTCCCATCTCTTCCCTTCTTTATACCACCTGATTTGTCTGCACAGCAGGTGCTGTGACAGTAAACCACAGAAATTCTCTCAGACATGCTAAATAAAGTGCCAAAAATTGAATACTTTTTTCTAGTAACTGGTTAAAAAAAAAATCTAAATAGAAAGACAAACTTAGAAAAATCAGTGAGCAATGTAAAAATCATCTGTTCCTGAAAACTATTCAGAAAAATTTAATCTTTGCATTTCTATCCCTTAAAGGATCATCTTTAAACTGCCTGAAGGCACAAGAGAAAAGCTGTGGGGGTCTGGCTTCGGGTATGTGGAGGGCCAACAGTAGAGTCTTCTTGAGCTCCCCATCAAGCCAGAAGAGAGAATATTTCCTAATACTTCTTAGAACACTTAAAGATGAGCGAATGAATGACATTTCTGGTTGCCCCTTTGGATGTGAGGAGTAGGACAGTGAGATGAAGAGGGTGACATACATTATTCAAGAGAGAAAAAGCTTCCTGACTAATTCAGCATGATTACAACCTCCATAATTAAACCAACCTAGGGGTGGGTGGGATGGTGAAGTATTCTTCTCCAAGAGATCACTCGAGAGTTTATATAAGTGCTACACATTTAATTATTCAATAAAATACCTTCTGCAGTACCTTAAAAGTACAGTTTTTGTAATCTCTGATAGATTGATGAGAATATTTTATATAAGTTGGTGCAATAACGTAATAGGACATGAAATCATGTTATTTACCTGTCAAAGACCGCATTTACTTTTAAACAAGAGGTTATTGCTGTTATTTTTAATCTATGAACCCCTAAGAAATTTGGAGAAGTTGATCAAATTATACTCACATGTCATTAATGATTACGATTTAAAGATAATCAAGAAATGCTGCAAAATCAGTAGCAAAATGAAGGTGCAACAAAGACCAAACTTTAAAAACTTTTGTTAAGTCAAAACAATGAAGTAGATTTAAATATTCAGGTACTTTCAACTAAAGGAATGATATGATGTTTACGGGGGAGGAGGGTGGGGGATACAATGTAAGTGATCTATAAATGGAGGGTGAAAGGGTAATTATAGATGACAACAATTCATATGTATGCTAAATATGTATTTTCTTGCATGTGCTGTAAAGGAAAAGTATTGAAAACAACAGTAGCTACAAGTGTAGATAAGCTGTTTAGAACTTAACTGTGGGCAAAATCCAGATTTAAATCTTATATAACCTCATTTTAATGTAACTTATATACAGATATTTTATATTGTACATCTCTAAACCATGATACTCAGAAAAAAGTTTGAATAATTTCAAGCATCTTCACCAAAGTTCCAAAGTTTCCTACTACAAAATGTATAAAGACATCATTTGAAATTGACGTTCAGTGCCATCTGACTTGCTTCCAGGGGATAAACTTTGAAGACTACATAAATATTTCAACATTTATGACATTGAAATCATTATCTCACACACACAGTCTACTGGCTTTGGATTTCAGTTTAACCTTTAGCATATATAAACATGCCAATTGGTTGAGATTTACGGCATTATTTCTTTCATTTACAGTGTTTCATTTCATATTTCATCTCAACCAGACCTCAAATTCCTTTAGGGCTTCATCTTCCACTTATTTCTCTTCCACCTACCCCACTGTGTGTTATGATGAATAATGCTTTGTACTTATTAACAAAATCAGGCTTTGTAGAAGAGAAACATTTTTTCCTTGTTAGTGACCACCACCTTTGTAACTCCTATAATCAATTCCTTATCCAGCCCTAGAGGAATCTCTGTCAGACACTTCCCAGTTTAAGGTTCCCAGAGGCTTCCCATGACTCCAACAAGAAATTTCAAGCTCTAATATAGTCTTTAAGACCTTGACAGGGCCTGGGGTCTGCCTACTTGACTTTTTCTGTCTCCATGACTTGGTCTTTCAGTTCTTTAAACTAGTTCCTGCCTGGCAGCTGTTGCCTTTGTTCTTCCTTCCACACAGAAAAAGCTTCACGTCCACATGTCACTTATCCACATTAAGGTCTTAACTCAAATGTCCTCCCTTCCTGACCACGATGGCAAGCAGCCATCCCAATCACCTTTTAACAGGAAATTATATTTCATCTTAACTCATCTAAGCACATCCAATTTGCTAATTACTAAATTTACATGACCACCTCTATCTCCTCTACTATACTGCCAAGTATCCTAGTCCCAGCAATGAACAGGCTGAGCAGCTGGCTGACAAAAATCAGCAGAAACACAGAATGAGAATGCAAAAGCAGAAGAAAGCCAATTTCCTTAGTAATGTCGGCAAGTTCATACATACAGAAGTAGAGAGAGATCTCAGGGGCTGCTAAGATACACCAAAATCCTTTCTCTGTTAAAAATGTAAAAATTGAAAATCCAACAGGTTTCCCAATGTATTCAAAAACTAGTAACCTAAGCCTGTTATTTTAACACCACCACATTGTGTAAAAGTGTGTACAAACAGAGCCGTTTCATATGAGACCATGGCCTCCCAACTGCCAGCCACATACATACATCAGGATTAGGGATTCTGATCGCCTAAATGGGTTGATATATATCATTTCAAATTTTGGATTTTCAAATAAAGTACTTCAGCACTAAGGTGTTTCTCACCTACTGACCTCCATGTTCCTATATATTTGGAGAATTAACTTTTTAAAGATTCAAAAAAATTGTATCAAAAATATTTGAGGATGATATATGATAAAATGGAGTCTCTTATGGCTGTGGACAGAAACAGAGGAAAAGGGGAAAAGCAAGAGGAGATCCAAGGATGCAAGGTGAACACCTTGTCTGCCTCCTGGGCTTTCTCTTCAACTGTCCGTGTTGCCGCCATCTGATGCTTCTCCTTCATGGACAAAATATCCTTGAAAAGATGTTCTCCTTTTCTCTATTGTTTTAAACAATAGACATAATCAACAAATAAGACACATACATCACGTCTATAGCAACACAAACATAAAACAATGGTGTGTCAGTGGAACAAATCAGGTGAAGTGGCACACAAGGGGAGACCCAAGTCTCAGCATGTCAGATACTGTTTCTCCAGAAAACACAACACTCTAGAAGTGACTGCTGACACACAGACATTAATCGCTTCAGAAAACCTAAAAATAACAATTTGAGTTGTACACAACTTCATAAGACCCTACCATGGTGTTGTCAATCTTAAAATTTTCAAAACTTGCGTTTTTAGTTCAGTAATTGTTTTTGCTCATCTGTCCTGAAGGAGCTATTTTCCTTTCACTGTCACAAGTTAGAAATTTAAAGCAATTAACAGTTTGTGCTTTTTAAGAAAAGGTGAATACAACAGCATGAATTAAATGCCTACAATTGGCAACAGTCAAGTCAGACTAGATGCTGAACTTAAGAAGAGAAAGACAGAAGAGGGAGAGATGAAATTGTAGGGTGAAATATTTACACACGTTTTACAACTGCATCTTAAAGTATAATCACTGTCTCTTCAAGTACAATGAACATGCCCATGAAAGTTCTTGGTTAATAGGGATTTGAGAGCACCAGAAAAGAACAGATATAGATGGGAATGAATGAAGTACTTTGAGTCTATATTCCAAAGGCAAATCTTTACATTGGTGGTAGGAAGAAGTAAATCATGGAAAGAAAAAGGATCAATTTGGGGAATTGTTACAGTAGAAAATGTTCTTTAAAAACCAGGCTATACTTCATGCCTAGGAAGTGTCAATATTAAGATGCATGATATGACATTCTGCAGTTTTCAACTGGCTATCAGTCTCCACATTAAATTTAACTCATTTTCTTCACAGTAATTACGTAAAGCCATTCTAAATATAGTCTGCATTCCTATATCCCTTAAGTCATTAAGTAAATGCTGTTATTTCAGAAGTCAGTATCTGAAAACTTAATATCACATTAAGCCAGTTTTTAAGTCATCCTACGTAACAATTCATTGCTACTTACTTTAATAGAATGTAATATCATTTGAAACTACATTAAAAGTACTTTGAAACTCATGCAATTTTCCTAAAAACCAGGTCAATAAGTAGTACAATGTTAATAAATATTTAGTATTTAAAAACTGTTAGCAAACATATGAAAAAACGAAATGGGGACATTTTGTAATTTCCTGAGAATGTACAAAATAGATTAGCAAACTGAGTTTCACTGAACAGTCAACAAATAGCTAGCAACATACCCCTTGTGTCTGTAGAGACAGAGGTGTGATACGGCGTTTTTCCCATTCATTAGGGCGCGGCTCAGGTGTAGATTCCATAAAATTGCGCTTCAGTTCACTAATGCTAGCCTGATGTTTCAGTATGTCCTCCTGGGCCTTATCCAGGTCCTAGCAATATGTAATGTAATAAAGGGGGGAAATCCAAAAGAAAAAAACCCAGTAGGACAAAAAATAAAAATAAAGCAAAAAACAAAAAACAAAGCAAATTTATGATTAAAAAAAAAAAAACATACTAAAGCAAGAAAAATGCCAAGTCTCAAAAGCCATAAAATCAGCTATGAATAAACAACCTTAATGAGTTCATCACAACTTGAAAATAAAGCCAATGTGTAATGTTTTTGTGATTCACAGCTTAAAGGGTTCTAATTTAGTTTTTAAATAATATTTATATTATTACAAGGACGTCTTTTTGCTTATTAAGTTCCATGGTTTTCTTAAGAATTTGAAATGCTGCCTATGACTTTGTTCCTGCAAATTTACCTGTCTGAATAGAATAGGGCTACTATTAAAATTTCATTCTGGGAATATAGTAAATCAAGTCACAACAGAGAAAGGGAGCCTCAGAATCATATTTGCCTCATGGAAAGGCCAGTGTAGGACCATCCAAAAAAAAAAAAAAAAAAAGAGAGAGAGAAAACCAAGGACTGATTTTTTTCCAGGAAATTCCAGCAGTGTCTTTAGTCCTTAAAGAATAAAAATAATGGCTTCCCAGGGGCTACGTCTATTTGGCCTCTCTATAAAAATTAGTGAACCACATGCTGGTTTCATGTACTTGACAAGCAGAAATGCGGGGCCCAGTCACCCAAATATCAGATGGTCCTCATACAATCAAGGATACAAGAAAAATTACCAGGTCAATTTTCACTGGCGTAGACCCTGATAAATGATGGCATCTGTGGGATATTTTAGATTGCCCTAATAAACAGTAGTTGTGGATTTAAAATGCAATTAGTGTTCAGCAAATGGTTTTAACTGAATTTTCAAGGTTTCTTACATTTTAAAAATCATGGGGGCCACCTATGGATTATACAGCTTCCATCCCACTCCCAGAGGAACAGGGCATGCATCTGATAAAATTAGATATTCTATATTCATGCACAAGCATAGTAGCTCATCTGTGAGCTTCTATAGCCATCTGCAAAAACTCATGAAAATCTAAAAATCTTTGCATGGCATGGAAAAATGACCGTGGCTTGAGATCAGGCACATTTCTTGCATTTGTTCAAAGCAACGTTATGTATTACACTTTAGAGCATTTTAGTAAGTTATGCTAAAATACATTTCCAACAGTTTCAAAGCTGCCAAAAGCAACCAAACAAATTAGTCAGATTATTGAGAATTGCAGTTCTCCACAGTATACACTATGCCATAAGACCCTAAAATAAGAAGGGGGAGGAGGAATTGTTCTCATGTGACACGGGGAATATATTCCTAATTGAATGCTAGGCTTTTGTTTTTTCTCCTTTCTCTCCTTTTCTCTTATTTTTTAATCAAAGCAATCCTATTCATTAGTATACTCTCCAACTTCATACTCCAATAGCATACTATTCCTAACTGCATGGATTTCAGCACCACTAACCCCCAAAAATTGTGGTCACAGATTAAGAGCCAAGTGACTTAATGCCAGGACAAATTATCTGTCCTGGTCAATGTATAGTAAGGATGGGATCACATTATGTCAGATTCCATGTTCTGGAGAGAACTCATTAGGAGACAATAGGTTTACTTACAGGACAACTTCAAGATCAATAGATAAAAACTTTACTCATTTGATACAGAACATTTTCTTCCCAGCTGTCACTTTGAGAACTTCTGGTAGACATATTCCTAATTAAGTCGCTTTAAAAGAACACAAGTCGGCCTGGTTACATGCACTCCCAAGCTGAATTTCCCCCATGCATTTCATGCACTGTGCTTGGAGAAAGTTGCCAGCCAGCCTGTGCGTGACCTCCCGTCCACAGCAGCCTGGCAGCCATCAGGACAGAGTTGTTTTCTTAAATTATACAAACCTCCAACATTAAATTGCTATGTCTGACATAAATATTATCCCCTTCTACTCTCAAGGAATTTTTCTGTGAAATTAAATCACACACAGGGAAAAGGCAAGTAAACATTAAGTGTATCAATTAGCAAGCACCAGCAATGACGGAGTTTGGATAGCCTAAGACATTAAAACAAAAGATGAATAAAAATCTTAAGAACCTAAAGCCACAACAAGCACAATTCACAAGTACAGGCTGAGAGTGTATCATCCCAAATACAATCGCAGGCAGCAGCCACTAGATATTTAACTTTGGGGAAAACAAATATCCACCTCCTCCAGCTGTGTTTCCTCTTCTTCCATCTTCGCCTGAAGAGTTGCACGGCCAACAGTAAGAAGGGGAGGATTAGTAGCAACTCTACCATCAGGGCAAAGAGGTTGTATTTGAACTTAAACAATGAATCAATATTACCAACCTTTATTGTTTGTCTCTCAGAAAAATGCAGAATATTAAGCCACTTTTGGTCTTTCTTCACCTACAGTGTTGTATGGATGATGGACATGATCCATTGCAAAGGCGGAATGGAGAATGGAAGCTTCACTCTTTCTCAGTCCCTAAGTTACGTACTGTTTTTGAATATTATTTACTCAGGAATGGAAATGTGAGAGTGTAAAAATGGCATAATTCAATCTATTCTAATATGAAATGCCTAAATCAACTAGTGACGAGGGCAAAGCATAATGATGCAAAATCTGGTGTTAGCTTTATCTCAGGGACAAATAATTATTTACCATCAATTTCTTTCCTTTAGGGGGGAAATTGGTCTCTTTTTATGTTAAAATGGTACGTGTTTTTAAATATTCTTTGAGATATAGCCACTTTTCTTTCATAATCTCCTTAAATAGGAATGGTTTATCATAGTTGGGCAATTCTCAGTAATTAATGATGAAAGAATCAATTTGTAAGTTTAAAATAACGTAAATGTTGACTGACTACTGAACCCAAGGAAAGGAACATAGCAAGAAAGAAAAAAAAAAACTGATTCCCATATAAAAGGAAAATAGTTTAACTTTTAACACGTTAATTCATAGCAGGATCAGATGTTCTGTTCTTTTTTACAGGAGGTAAGAGTGTCAACTCTGAGAGTTCCAAATTTTTTTTTTTAATCATTCAAATATATTTTAAGTAAGCAGGTAGCTTAAAATGTCATTTTATCAGCATGGAAAATGAGATACAGTCAATTCAGAATCTACTAAGAATCGTCTTCCAATTCCTTGGTCAACTCTTAACTCTAACATGTCAATCTTTGGCAGTCCTCTGGTAACTTTAAAGAATCATGGCTTCACACAATGCTTAATCATACTATCATTTTCACATTTTTTTCTTTAGATTTCCTTTGAATTTTGTGATTTATGTTATGGATAACACCCACAGGATATGAGACACTAAGTCACCAGACCATATTTAGCAAAATAATCAAAAACATGTAGCACAGAATTATTTGTGCAGAGGTAGTCCTACATAAGGGTAAAAATTCATAAACTAGACACCTAATTTTAAATGAAAGAGCACTAAAAGGGCCAACCTTAGGGCTAAATATTCTCAAGTTACAAAAAGTCATTTTTTGTAGACATTTGTTAAAACAGAATAGTATCTTCCTTAAAAATACTTGACAGTGACTCTTTTTTATTTAATTATGATTTAGCTAAAAAACACTTCCTGATAGTCATCTGGTTCCCAAATGCTATAATAATATGAAACAAAGAGTTTCTGAGATTAGAGCTATGTACTCAAGAGTAGAGGTTCCAGATGCATCCTCATAAATGCAAGAACAAGAAGCTTGGTTTTCTAACAAGAGTTATAACAGTACTAAGGAGTTCTACTACTACACATCATTTACAGTTATGTCCACTACATTCTAAGTTCTAAGCTGAAACAAGTTTCCATCCTAAAATAACAGCATTAAAATATGTCTGCAGAACAGACTCTATATGGATCGTTCATGGGGACACAGAGCCCCTTCTCTTTTGATTTAGTATGTTCTAGGTATTTCTACAATAGTCCTTTAACTTTGTTCTCAACTTAGCATGTGTGGACCTGGTCAGCAGGTATTAATGGCAGGGAGAAACTCATACTTCTTTTTCATGCACTAAAACGTTGTTTGTGTGAAAATGTGTAGACCATACTATTTTGAGAGCAATCAGTGAAATTTATGCACATGTTTACACTCTACATTAGAAACAGTATAAGATGGAGAATATTTTTGTGGACCCCACAAATTGTAGCTTATGTAGGAGTGCCAGCAACTGCTTCCTCTTCCTCTGCTTTGTCATTCCCATCGTTGTCATAAGACACATTAAAGGAAGTGGCTTTTGCCTCCAGATAGCAGAGGGATAGAGCCAGAGGAAGGGAAAAAGTGAGAGAAAAAGGCACCGACTGAGAAGCAGAGAGAAGTAGCCCAAAGATGAGGATGAGAGAAGGAAGGAATGAAGGGGAGGTAATAGGAACATAATGCTGGACATCAGCAGGGAGAAAGGAGACCCAGACCTTGGGGAGGCTGGGGAAAGCAAGATACCCATCTTCATCTAGAAGTGAGGGGAAACTGGATGGAAAGCATTTGCAGAAACTGAAGGAAAAGTGCCCAAATTCAGACTCTTTATGGCCAGCCTCTTTTAGAGGTGTCTCAGGGGTGGGAGGACATTCAGACTGAGCAGGAGCTTCGACAGGCTCCGGGACAGAATCATGGGCAGTGACTTCACTGTCCCCCTGCTCTGAGGTTTCGCCTGTGGAAAGGAGTTCCAAGCTGTCTACTGTGATCTGGTCGGCCTCCCCAAAGGGGTCTTCCTCCGAAATGTCTGAAAGCAAGTCCACTTCAGGGACTGGCAACAGGTTTGGGGAAAGACATGAAGCACAGCGGATGAGTGGTGACGGTGGGCACAAGGAAAAGGGCTGTTCTCAAGAGCAAACCCATGGATGAACGTGAAATTACACAATGGATATATTCAAAGGCAAAACAAAGGCGAGAAAGAGAAGAAGAAATGGATAGTTAGTGAAAACTTTTACTCTTAAGTATGGGGTCATATTAACACAATGCAGTGAGAAAATGAATTAAGTGATCCATTTTTTAAAGAGGAAAACTGAATGATTTTTATCACATAAAATGTGTAGTATAGGTTGATTTCATGATTGTTTTCCAACTGGTTGCAAACATTCAAATGAAATTCAAATAGATTATCACTTCTAAACCTGATTGCTAGCAAGGAGGGCAGCACAACCAGCCATTTGCTGGTAATAAGCAGAATTTCCTTTGAAATTTCGAAGAATTAAAAGAACTAAATCCATCAAATGAATGAGGCAAAATGTAACAGAGACTTTCTGAATTGCTGAGCTCTTCTGTTTCACATGTAAGTAGTCACTTTCCTAGGTGCCTCATTAGCATAATTATGATTTTGACAACTTTTCAGCAGTTGAAAGATAACTTCTAGGACACAATTTCTGTCGTTTTAAACTAAATTTCAACCAAATTTTTTTTATATTATATTCACAAATTCTTTAGCAAGGGAATGCAGATAATTTGATAAGTGCCACCCAAAGGCCCTGGCCTTGTGGTATGGGTCAGGCAGGGCTCAAAGGCTCCCAGGAGCCCCCTCTCCGCTGAGTGTTAACAGCCAGCGGTGGAGAAATTCCCGGGGCTCTGCAACTACTTCCTCTGGCAAGTTCTTTATACATTCATGTCGCATGTCTTAAAAATTTTCAGAATAAATTTGGAAAACATTTAAAATCTATAGGATGATTTCACTTCTTTTTCCATGTTGACTTCCAATGTTATCTTTTAAGAAGTTGCTTTGTGAAGATATGAAAAAGAGATTGGAAGAGCTCCAAGCCTCTTCAGATAAACTTCTGACTGACTTTACTTGCCCGAGGTAACACAGTAATATGAAATAAGTGACAAATTTTAAAACACAATACAGGTTACTTCTCCAGTGGAATATGCACCAAATGAAGCTGAAAGCAACACACCATCTTCTTTCTGTTCAAAAATAATCACTTTGTGCTTAAGAATTTATCTATTACAGATTACTGATGAAAACGTTTTTTTCATAGACCATCTTCGTTCATTTCAAACTATCAACACAATTAAAATAATCAAGCTATGTTATACTAAAAATGTATCTGTAACACAGCAAACATAAATTTCAAAATCAGCAAGTTTTTTTATAATTAAATAGGATGATTCTGAAGACATTCAAAAAGCCAATAAGTTACTTACTTGTATAATATAATTCATGTTGAAATATTTCACTTTGAACACAATCAAAAAAGGGTTAGAGAACGTGTCTACACCAGCAAGAATCTACACATATTTGAAAATTGTGAAATTATATCAACAGACAACATAAAATGACTAATTACAAGTGATATTTGAGTTCTGAAAACAAGTGCAACCAACAGATTCTCAACCAAGTACACTCATAAAATCTCATGTTTTACTAATTTACCATACCTTTCCTTCAATGAGCTGCACGTGTGGGGCTTTAACTGGGCTTCTGATGTCCCTCCTGCCATCCCCATCTTGCACCACGGCAGTGCTGACCCCTCCAGGGCCACGAGCTGAAACCTCCCCAGCAGGGCCACGAAAATCCTTCATAAGACATTGGTCCACAACACCAACTGGAGCTAGTAAAGAGTCATCAGTGGTCATTCAAATGGAACAACTTAATGGAACTTTCCCCCTTACACAGATAAACAGACAGCTTGAAGTCAATCAACAGAACAGAGACACTGCTTCAGTTCTGAAGTTACAAACATATGAGATAAACTCATTTTTAAACATTTAACAATTTCTAACAATATTCTGAATTTTTACCCATTGAACTACACCAACCTCTCAAACCAGAGATTTCTGAAAGCTATAAACTGATCCTGGAATTGACCAGTAGGAGGAGCTCCAAGACCAGCGGAAAGACCAGAGTTCCGTACTGTCAGAATTAGTGCAGGCAATATTTAAATTCTCTGTGGTCTCTTTAATCCTGCCTGAACTTATTTCTGAATCTATCTATCGTAGCAACTAATTATCAAGTTATTAAAATGACTTGCTTCAATTAAGTTTACAGAATTCCTTCATGAAGCAACCTTTTGTGTCAACACCAAAGTTAGAATAAGAAAGGAAAGGTAGATTTTAGAGAATTAATTTCTGATTATGTCAAATATTTTCATTTTTCTAACCTCCCTCCTGAATGACTTAACCTACAGTAAATCTAGCACAAATCCAATACACTCCCATCAGTTCAATCCATTGTAAGAACCCTCTCGATCTACACACCTTCACAGGCCCTGTCCATAAATATTTCTTCCCCAGTTGTTTTCTTTTTCCAAAACACCGTCCTCTTAGTGCTCAAGACATAAACCTTAAAGTCTCTTTGTTTTTCCCTGAACCAGTAAATTTAATAGAGTTCTTGAATATATTTCTAAATGTGGCCAGTTCCTCCTCCTCCTCTATTTTTCCTCAGGTCCCATTTATGATTTTCATAGCCCTGAATACTCATACTTTTGAAAGTCTACACCAAATCATGTTAAACATTAAAATGAATTCACCTTAAATAAATTATTTTCTAGGTTTTTGAACTTTTGAGAAGATTTTAATAATTTTCCCAGCTATGAGTGTGTCTTTAACGTATGATGACGGTTTCTAAGCACCCATTGGACATACATAAGCACCCGTCAGAAATTACTGCAAGATGAGAAAGCTCTGCTCTGAAAATGGCTTCAAATGTAATTGTACCAAAATTTTAATGTATATCAAATTTAAAGTTACATTATGAAGTTGACAGCAGCTGATACAGATATTTTTTAATGCCAGTTTGTGATTTATAGGGACTTTTTAAACTTTGTTTTTTGTATTTGGGGGTCAACAATTTTTTCAGGTCTTAAAACAATTATAGAGCCCAGGCACTAGCATTTGGAGCCAAATGGCTAACTGGCCTACTTCCATCAGAGGCAAGACTACACCACTCTCACCCAGACTATTCCTCATAGTCTGGCTTCTGTCTCCTTTCATCATCTGTCATGTTACCAGGTGATTTTTTTAAAAAGTAATACTGTGCTCTCATGAACTCTGCATACATGAGTATACACATGTATACACATACACACACTTACATATACATGTATAGTCACAAGGTAAAGCAAATTTAATAGAGTTCTTGAATATATTTCTAAATGTGGCCAGTTCCTATAACACCTCAACTAAAAGCCACATTCCTCAGCATGCCCTGCAAGGTTCTGCATGACCTGGCCCTGCCCACCTCTCCCTAGCCTTACTAGAAATTCTGAGTACACTGGCCTTTCTGCTCCTGAAATTGATGAAACTCTCCCTAATTTTATAACCTTCACATCTCCTCTTCCAGCTACCTGGAATGTTTTCTCTGCCTCCCTCTCGTGCTTCAAATCTCAACATTCTTTCCCTGATGACCCGATCTATGTAGTGTCCCTGCTTATTACACCTTCCCACTTCCAAAAATTCATTTCTCTCCTCATTCTCAAATGCATCTCCATCAATAGATCTCTTAAATGACTGGTTTGCCTCTTCTGGAGTTTGATTTTTCAACCACAGAATGTCACTGTTCTAACATAGTTGTTTTAAGATTGATTTTTATTTTGATAGTTTATCTTGGCTATCACTTTGATTTTACTTTCCATGTAATAACTAAAAGATTTTTAGTCTGTCAAACCTCAAAATGAAGAATATTTACATGTTAAAATTAATCTAACCTAACTTAAAAAGTAAACAGGAAAAAGAGAGTATAATAGATGTCAACAAAAATAAAAAGGTACATTAACAGGAAAAATAAAGTTCAGTTCCAGGTTACAACCTAGCTTTGCCTTGGGGGAAGAAAGGAAAACATAAGCTGTAACCAAATAGTTCACTGGCTATCTGGTGTTGTATTGGCATGAAAAGCCTATTTTTTTCACAAAAAAACAATCAACCTTTTGATAACTTGTCCATCTGATGAATTACAGTGTCCCCTACAACAAAAGGAAAAAATAATGGATTACTGAGCCATGTTTGTTGCTTTTACTTGTGAAAATCATTGTTTTCAGATACAGACCTACTATACCCTCTGCACTAACTGTGCCTACAAGATGGTGGGTTTCCGTGAACATAGCTTATATACCTCAAAGAAAATGCACTGCTTTACTTGCTTTGTTAAAACTCAAATATTTACAATCTGAATTGTGAAGCTGCACAGTTTAAAACAAATGGTGAAACAGTGTTCCAGAAAGAGGAATGATTTCTCTGAAGGCAATTAAACAACATTGACTGCATTTATTCAGCACTTGCATAAATTTCCTATGGCAAAGGGGAGAGAGGCTTGTGAAATATTTCCATGAATGGGTACATTTTTTAGATTTACTTGAAAAAAGCACTCTACTGTGGATGAGCTAGTGGATACTTTGATAGCTATTCTACATTAATAATTTACTAAATTCAAATCACTACATTTGGGAATATGGACATCTGTTTGAATCCGTTGATACTTCCCTTGCAGACTTTTTGAGCATTCTCATAAAACTATATGGAAGAGTCTCCAGAATCAAGATTATAAACTACAAATACAAAAATTCCCACTAATGACTCCTGGGAATTATCTACACATGTTCACATGGGTCTGCTTCCAAGTTTATTCCAGGCAAAACAGATCAAGGCCAAAGGGTTTCAACCCTTCACAAACCAGGAAACTTTTTTATCCATTAGCATATCTGGTCTGCTCTAGCTGATTATTTAAAATATAAGTTGTTAAATTTCAAATTTCAGGGCATCGCTGGTGGCGCAAGGGGTTAAGATGCAACCTATGAAGCTATTCGCAGCCACTGCAGCACAAGTTTGATCCCCGGCTAGGAAGCAACCCACATGGTGCAGCAGACCTCTCCTGACTCACCCGCTGCTCCCCTCAGCAGTGTATTTCAGTCAATCTGCCTGTTCTGTTCCCCACTCTGTCTCCGGTGAATCCTCTCACCCTCCACACCTCTGGCCTATACCCCAGTTCTTGTATGCATAATTTTTTTTTTAATTTCAGAAACATAACAGTAATAACAAGTAATCAAAAAAGGTTTTTCCTTATTAACATTAGTATAAAACAAATTTTCAAACTTACTATCACTATTTATATACATGTTTTGAGCTTACGCAACCAAAAAATGTTGAAAACTTCTGACAGAAAGTCAGCCACCTTAATTACTATTAGATAGAAAAAAATCAAGTCCTTCATAAAGCATTCTAATATGCTTTAGTTTTATATAAAACCTGCTATTAACTCAAAAGCAGACAAGGTAATAAGATAACATATACAAAGGGAAGCAACATCAGTATACTTCATGTATAATTTATATAAAACTACAAATATGTAGCTATTTAGAATTCTAATTAAAAAAAATGTACAAGTTCATACCTATCTACCTTTGGATGAAAAAGCAAGTGAACATATTTCCTTGTTTTGTTGTTAAAACATTGTACTTAGACTAATCCCTATGAAACTGTAATCCCTATGAAACTGTCATATGATGGACAATGTGGTACACTTGCAGTTTTGTTGTTTTGTATAAAGTCCATACCATGGACTTAAGAGTTTTTAAACTCATAAAAGCTTGATGATGCTATGAACATTTTTACGTTACTCTGAATAAAGGTTCAGTTACCACACCACAAACCCTGAAAATTACATTTTTGCCATTAATTAACAAACTTAAGTAATTAAGTCATGTAAATCACAATTAAGTCAGACTAGTAGAAATGTGTTTATCTAATATGTCACCATTGAGAAACCTTAATATTTGTATGCATTGCTAGTACAGAGAAAATTCAGGTTCAGAATGACAATTTCAAAATACTACATCATTATTTTCTCATGAGTGTAAGCAATAGCACTTTATTTACTCAGGGCAAAAAAAAATTTTGCTATCCCTCTAAGATATTTTTGGAGTCCATACTAACTAGATCAACATTTTCTGATCAGAAAATGTCTGATCAATATTTTCTAGATTAGAGAAATAGTAATGGAATCCAAAATCATAGTAAGTGTGCTCACCTCCATCTAGATTCCTGGAGACCCGTTTACTGGAGGTTCGCTCAAAGTGTGGGGCTGGTCTATCAATGAGGGTGCTGGCCTGGCGGGTCTGGGCTTGGGTACGGCCGCTGTAACGGAATTTGGAGCCCAGGGTCAGGAACTTGGCCTTTGGTGGCTGCTCTGGAGACACAAGCCTAGGGGTGGAGAGAAGGTGGGAAAGGACAAAATTAAACTTCATGGATTTTTTTAAAAAACTTCAAAGCTCCATTCTTTCATATTTCAGTTTATTAAGCATTACTACAATTAAAAAATGCAAGCTAAACTTTTAATGGAAAAGAACAGTACATATAAATCCTCCAAGACAGAGCTGTATGATAGTGATAAGATGGAAAAAATCCACATTCCTATACTCATGAATAATGTTTGCCTCAACCTGAGCAAAAGAACAGCTGTTCTCAGTGTGTATCAAAGGCTATTTATTTGTATTAACTTAAATCATTTATATAAACACATTTGACTGAATTCTTGCTTCTAGCTATAAGTGCCAAGCAGCAATCCATTACCATTAGTAATTCTTAATATTTATGTCTATTTCTCCTGGGAAAGAACATCTAACTCAGGAATCTGTTCCATCAAGCAATGCTTTCCCAGGAAAACAGAGCACTGAGTGGCTCTGCAGAGATGACTAACATCCTTTCTTGCCAGCATAATTCTGCTTAAATGCTGGGTTCATAATGAATGAAGTCCAATTTTCTTGAAGTCAAATACTTCCAGACTTATGCAAAAACATATTTTTAGTAAATGAGCCAATGCTGTCTGGAATATAAGAGAAATTCCCTCACTTGTGTTGTCTGATGTAGAGTTGGCAAAAAAAGTCTTTAACACAAAGGTAATCAAGATCTCAGAATTTATTAAATAAGATTTCAGTTGACAATTTCAGAATATGGAGAACTCCACCAAAATTTTCTCTATAGTTCTTGAAAGAAGTGTGATTTCCCAAAGTTCTTTACCAGGGATCTTTCTCTGCTTAATAAGCAATAAAAAGAGATTCAAGTCAAGGTAAAAGCTACATATAATCACACAGAGGTGATATTCCATCAATTCAGGGTTCTCAAGAGCACTAATCCAAAATGTGGTAGAATTAATCTGATGAAAGAACTGATACACTCTAGCTTTCTTGACTTCAATCTATTCATGTAAAGTAGCAGAAGTTTTTCTTGAAAACTTCCATTTTTCTGCCAACATATTTTCCAAGGAGACACAGATGATGATGCTGAGCAAGCATAATATGATGCTGGTCAGTGATTCAACCTGTACTTTGGGGAAAGCTGCATATTATTAAACTAGAATGTAGGAATAGAATTCTTATTGGTGCTCTGAATTCTTTTTCACAGTTGAGAAAACTGAGGTAGTAAAAGATTAAACATCACAGCACACTGATGCTGAATAACAACGGCAGGGTAAGAAACGCGATCACTTACATGCACTGTTCTCCTGGGTTTGGCAGGGTTCTCCACCTAGCAGCCTATGTAAACACAATCTAAGAATGCTCTGGAAGGAAGCAGTGATCTATAAGCTCAGTAGTGCAGTAATTAACACATTTTTCATTCTTGAAAAATGTTGGCAAAATCACATTTTTATAATCTATTTATGAAATGCACTATAGATACTGGGAGAACAACCAGTGGAAAAAAGAGACATTCCCAAGGGATATCTAAAAGGAGAAACATGCACTGATCACCCCAAAGGAAACTACTACTACTACACACTTACACACACACACACACACAATTTTCAATTCAACGTAAGACAACAAGTGTTGGCAAGGATCTGGAGAAACTGGGATCACTTCTATACTGTTAGTGGGACTGAAAAATATGAAAAATCATATGGAGACACCCTATGTACTAACAAAATCCAGCGATCCCACCTCTGGAATATTTATCAAAAAGAAATTAAATCAAAGTTTTGAAGAGATAGTAAGTAGCATTCCCATATTCAATGTTCACAATAGCTAAGATGTGAAAACAACCTAAACATCCCCTGGCAGATGAATGGGGAAAGAAAATATGGGAAAATACACAGTTGGAGAACTGTTAAGCCTTGAGAAAAGAAGGAAATTCTGCAACACTTAACAACATAGACAGACCTTGAAGACACTGTGCTAGACGCACAAGCAATGCATGATTCCACTTATGAGGTATTAAATTAGTCAAGTTCATAGAATCAGAGACAAGTACTGATTACCAGACAAGTACTGATTACTAATATATGATATACCTATGGTCAACAACAATGTATTATACACTGAAAATTAGTTAAGTGGACAGATATAAGTGATCTCACTTAATAAAATATTTATTTTTAAAAAGTATGACCCTGGTCCCCTAAATCATATACAGTTTTGTAAACCAATGTTACCTCAATAAAGAATTAATCTTTAAAAAAATAAAATACCAGAGTAAAGGAGAGTAAAACTGGGGTGTTTGGCTCCCTTTTGTAGCTTCACCTCAGTTGAGTATCATTTAATCAGAGGACATGTCTTCCTGAAATGAGCAGTGCCATAGAGAATTACTGAAATCTCTCATTTCCAATTCCAGTAACTGCCCCACCCATACCCCACACCGTGATAATAGAGTCTAGGAGTCAAACTCCAGTCATTAAACTTCTCTCAAATTACAACAAAATTTTAAATAGGAACAGGATGGCCACTATTGCAAATTATGAAAAATTATTAAGATTTATATATATAAATACATATATAAAAATATTTCCCCTCTTTCATTACAAAATTAATTGAACATGGAAAGAAGATCAAGAAATTTCTTATGCTTCAGAAAGTAATTTTAAGGGAAATTAAGAAAGCTTACAATAGTGTTTTCCCACTTTTGGATAATTGGTTATTTTATATAACTTTGCAGAAATTTGTATTAGGTCCTACATACAGAAAGTGCTTAATAAATATAGCTGTAACACCTTTTACTACATGAGTGAGTGCACTAGAATCTAAGTAACAGGAAAATCCAAAGACATGTCTACATACCCATTTTTCAGAGTTCTTTTTCTTGAAAGGCATTACACTTTCATAGCATAAAGAATAGTATTTAAATGTAGGATTTGGAAGAAGGGAAGTTGGGCTACAGTATCACATTCAGACACTCTGTAAGAACTACTACTGAATATTTTCTTAATTTAATAAATCATTAGACAAACTATGGCTACAAATACCCCTTTTTGAAATGTAAGTGATTATTTGTTTTTTTTCCCAATTATGAAAATAGGCTCTCGTTTATATAGGCTAGGAGAACATACCCAGTCAAATATCTAAGTCTAGATATTTAATTCTATGCAACCATATGTCTAGTTCAATTCGCTTTTCTTTTCGGTAATGGTTAGGTGGCTGGTTGCCATTAAATAAATGCCTATCAGAATAATTATTCACTTATCCACTTTGTAGAAGATACTTTCCCAACAAATATTAGTCAAAGAAATATGAGTAAATTATTTTATAGGTAAATATACATAACAATGCAAAAGATAAGTCATTAACTAGATGACATTTATTTCTAGCAGCTGGCAGTGATGACTATACACAAAGTATTAGTCTACAGATTAATTTTCTGATGGCAAAGAAATCCTTAAGTAATTAAGCTGCAATTAGATACAAATGCCAAAAATGGAAAAAAGGTTAAACATAGAAACTTATTATCTTTCTCTAAATGAATTTTTTTGGTGACTTAATAGTAAATAAATCTTCTAAGAAGTATAGACCAAGCAGTAAGATATCATTTCGACATCCCTTAATTATCTCCTTTTGATATTTTTATCTTCCAAATCAGTCCCTATCCTGCTAAGAATGATATCAAGACTATCATTTCACTTCGGAAAATTTAAAAGCTACAATAAGGAACTAATCATTATAGAGTATTAAAAGCATCGAGAAGATCATCTAAGTAATGATGTGTCACAAAGGAATTCAACTTTCACATACATAACTGCTTAAGAAGCATATTGTTTTAATTTTATAAAAATCCTGTCATCATAAATCAAATATTCACGTTTACCTACAGAAAATAAAGGAACATTTTAAGAAAAACCCACACATCAATTACTAAAGTCAATCATACATTTAATGAGTGTCATAGGTTTCCATAAAGCTCTCTGTGAAGCAAATGCACTTGGGATGCCTCTAGATCTACAATGCCAAGTTTAAATGGCAGTTTAATGTCATTGGAAGAACCTCACATTAATCTTGTTTAAACACGACCATCACACCAAAGAAGGACAGCACTAAGAAAAGGCAAGGAAGTAAATCTTGCAAACACAGCTGAGAAGCACAGTGAGTGGGACACTTGTGGGTGCTGGGAGCCACACTATCTGGATTTGAATTCCATATCCACCTCTTACTATGTGACCACAAGCATCTTAGCTTCTCTGTTTTTCAGCTTCTCCATCCAGAAAGTAAATGAAGATAATAGCACCTGCCCCATAATATTTGTGATGACTAACAGAATTAATCCACACACAGCACTCAGACTGGTGATGGGTTCCACCACGCGCTCAAACACAGGCTGCTACTTTATGATGCTCTTGTTCCATGGACACCAAGCCCGCTGAGGTGCAATCAACACAAAGATCAGGTTTTTTTTCTTTTTGTCTAATGGCTTCAATCTGAAAGTCATTTTAAATTTCTACAGAAATCATCTGCCTCTTTTGTGATAAACTGTAACAAAATAAAACCCATTGATTCAAAGCACTCTGCAGAAAAATGATTTGCCCTTTCTGCATTAGATATATGTTTTACATCATTTGTAAATGTAAAGGCCTTACACAAGGCCTAAAGATCTAAAAATGCTCTGTTAACCAATATCTCAAAAGTGTGCAGGAGCAAAGGTCTACTTTTAAATTGAAGTCATACTATGTTAGCAAAATGATGGAGGGACCTGAGGCTTTGCAGGGCTATCAGATACCTGAGAAACACCTGCTAGAAGAATGTAAGCCCAAAGACAGCACACACATGAAGGCATGGGCTTGAGAATCAGACAGCTTGGAGCCCACCTTTGCTCAGACTGGGTGACTGCTATATTCCTCAATAGGCACCTAGCTCTGAGCCACAGTGTCCTTAGTGGGAAGAGTGATGAATGTGATGGTACGAAGTAGAGCCATCAGGTGTGTGTGTAACAACCATGCATGCCCAATGCTTGGTAGCACCTGTCATTTCTGAAGTGATTATTGCTTATTTAACAGGGAAGGCTGTTGTATGTCCTGCCTGAATCTGTTATCTAACTCACATACATTATCTACTAGCCTTATTTGGGGCACACTCATATTGTCTTAGGGAGAAATTTGTCCCAGCTGATAAGTTGTAAATTTTTCAGACTTATATGACTGGTGTAATAAAGAATGATTCAGGTAAATTTTATGAGTTACATTTTCCTCTAAACTAAATATATTAGTCTTGAAAATAGGTATCTGTCAATTTAACTTGAAGAAGTCACTTGTATCAGCTGATAATTCACCTTAAAAATAGCACACTTTGGCACCAAACTATTTAATGATGATAAATATTATATGCCAGCAATGGTTCTAAATTTGATTCATGTGTATTATTTATTTACTTACCAAAACTACCCCGTAAAGACAGGTACTATTATCACCATCACATGGAAGTGATGACAGCACAGGTACAGAAATGGTGAGAGTGAGGGGAGATGCGGAATAAACCCAGGGCCAGCAAACTAGCTGGTTCATATGCAAAAAAGGACAGATTTGATAGCAGTAGAACACTCCTAACAAAGCAGCAAAATGACAGCCAGCCCACAGTGTTCAGGTTGGCTCGGGTAAGAAATTAAGCAGGGAAGCGTGCAAAAAAAAAAAAGTGAAACCTAAGATGAGTGGTGCAGGAAGAAGAGTGGCAGCAGGGCTGGGAGTATGTGGTGGCTGAAAGGCAGCTGTGATCAGAAAGTGTTGTTTGGACCATGACAACGCATGGCCAGGGCAACAGAAATGCATGTGGGAGTGGTCACAGACAAAGGAGACTTGACATTGCGGAGAACAAAGCAAAGTGCCACCGCCTCTGCCAGACTCTCCACTACCAATTCCTAATATGGAGAAGGTACCAGTAGCCATTCATGCTGTTTTCTTACAATTACCTGTAGAAAGTGTGATGTTCCACGCACACTTTCCATAGCTTTTTCGCCGCCCGATGGTTTGGCAGTTTGAATCCAATGGTGCTCTCAAATTGTTCCAGCTAGAATAAATCCATAAAACAGATGAGCCTATTTCTTTAAGAGCTCATGAGAAGCTACTGAAAAATAGATCAAATCTTTCTGTAAGAAGTAATATTTCTTTAAAAAGGTAACTATTTCCACATTTAATATAATTCTGCAAAATGATTTTGTCACAGACTGCATATTAGTTTCTACGAAAAGCAAGTATCAACTACCGACATAAGTCAACTGTCCCTCAATGTCCACTAAAACTCCCTGTACCACTGATCTCTATGACTCAACAGCAACAACAAAACAATTCCCCACTGTGTGGCAGGCACTACTACTCTTTCTTTTCCTGAAGGGCATAGCTCTTACGCAGCTTTTTTTTTAATCCATAGGGAAATAATGCAGGTTTACCATCAAGAATTCTGTTTCTTTTTAACCATAGAAAAATAAAGAATAGTTCATTTTCTTAAAATTCAGTGGAAAAAATTCCATCAGCCTGTACCACAGAGAACACCGAAGAAGAGTGATTAGACATGCGAGGGGCTACCTGACTTTGCTTACCTCTGCTGGCCTCACTTTAATGTAGAAGTTGCTGCGTTTATAGGAAATTTTCAAGATTTTTGGCCAAGCAAAACGATTGATTCTCAGTCTGTCTTTGTAAATGAGAAGCCCATTAGCGCACACACCCAGCTTGATGTCCACGCCTTCTGAGTCCTGCCAAGCATAAGCCATTTGACCATGGTTAGAGCTGTGAAAATTACATAAATCAGGAAGCAAATTATCCCTCCTGAACCATGACCAGGAAGGCCAACTGAAAAGATGAGCATTTTAAATTTCTGTGACAGTACACAAGGTAAGAGAGGGAGTAGGACACACGACACATCTTCAGACTATTCATCTCCAGGGATCAGATCTGATTTGCCAAGGAGGTATAGCGAAGATGGCTACAGATACATTATTCTTCAAAAGGCATAATTCATATGCTGTCAAGTCATTTATAAAAGCTAAAGGAGAAAAAAGGAAGTAAAACCTCATCTAGCAGTCCTGAAGATTGAGAGATAAATTTTTTCCTGGAGGTTATTCCAGCCATTGGGAATGGCCTGTCGGCCCCCAAAGGTGTTTTCAGCCAGTTTACTTTAGGCTCTTAAAATTATTCCTGTATTCTGCAAAACAACAGTCCCTCACAGAAAATTTCCCTTCTAGGCTAGCAGCAGTGAAATCTTTGAATTCTTTCCAGCAGTTTTTCCAATAACTCAGAATGCTGACCTCCAGTTAGCATTACAGCTCTTCTTTGATTGGCATATTTCAAAGATCTCAGACTATTCAACTTATCGATACTGTTTTCCTTCCCCAGTGTTCAAATCTGGAATAGACAGTAATCTACAATAATCACAAGTTGAAAGACTTTTTTTAAAAAATAAATTTACAGACAAAAGTGAAAAACTGCCTTCTCATATTTCAAGTAGTGAGGAGTATTCAATATATACACCACATTTAAAATCTACAAATCATTTTTTATCTTTCAGGAAAGAGCTGGATCTCATTCAAGATATGCAAAATTGAACAATAGTATTCAAAAATATTTCACAGTTTCAGAAATCATTAACATGGAATAATTTCTCAAAAAAATGCTCAAAAAAATGCTAAAACAAATACCCTAATTAGTCTAGTTCTCAATTCAGTAAAACATCTCAACTATCTTGCTACTGAAAACAATCTAATACAATCTAATTTTAACACCATTTAAAAAAAAAAAGAAGTATAGAACTGAGTAACTGACACCAAGAGAACTGGTTTCTCTGCTTGATTTAAAAATCAAGTCCATGGGTAGCTTTATTCACCCATATCTGGCAGCCACAATTCTCTCTAGGAAGAGAGGAAAAGTCTGCGGTGGATCAGGCACAGGTGCCCAAGCAACTTGGCACCAGACATGGATGGTATGATTGCCAAAAACACCAGCGGCCATGGCCTCAGGGAGCAGCCAGAAGGTTGCCCGAGAAAGCAGGTTCTCACCACAAATAAGGAGGCAGCTCTCATTTGAAACACTGAACAAAGTTATCTCTAGTCAAAAGCAATCTTCACATAGCACACTGAAGCTATTTTATCTGACGAAAAAGCACAATGTGAATTCATTTAAATCGGCTGATTTTTAGTTCTACAAATTGCTTTAGAATTATCAGTATTTGAGTAAACAGGAATTACACAAAGGATAAGATGTAAAAGTGCGGGGGGAGCAAAAGTGGTGGGGTCAGGGATGGGGGGAAGCATGCTTTTATCCTCCATTTGATTTCTACTTCTAGCAACAAAGCGGGGGGAAAAGCCAATAAAAATAAGTATTCTCAGGCCTCCCTGGTGGCGCAGGCGGTTGAGCGCAACGCTATGATGCTGTCCACAGCCTCTGCAGTGCCGGTTCGATCCCCGCCGGCCTCGGAGCAACCCACATGGCCAGCAGACCTCTCCTGTCATGCCCACTACTCCCCTCAGCAGTGTATCTCATCAGTCTGCCTGTTTCAACCCCCACTCTGTCTCTGGTGAATCTTCTCACCCTCCCACACATCTGGCCTGTGCCCTGGCTCTTGTATAAATAAATAAAAAAAAATCTTTAAAACAATAATAAGTATTCTCTGCCCTGCTCATTGTACAGGAAGCTGCTGTATCAAAAGGATCCCATGCCCACGGACTTCCAAATACGTTCAGCCTCTGGAAAATTCCTGAAGATCAGAGAGGAGAAAAGGAAAGGTGTTCATGGTGTTTAAAACCCAGATTCCTTCTGTTTGTCACCTGAGGCTGGCGGAGTCCCTGACAATGCGCACCTCGCACACACAGTCCTCTCTACACAGAGCTCTCCTGAGTTCTGGCTCCCACTCTGCTCTCACCCCTTCAGACCCAGCGGGGTTAGGAGTACTGCCGTTATTTGCTCAGAGATATCAGCCTATTCTAGCAGTTTCCCTGTAACTTTGTCAAGAATCCTTTGATTCAACACCCTTCAACCTGTCCTCATGTGAGTATGCCATTAATAACTCTTAGGATAATAAAATAATAACTTAATGAAATATAAATATAGGCACAAAACTTCAAACTATACGTAAAATTCTTTTAATTGATACTCTTTTGAACAAGCCACAACTATCCTGCTTATTAAATATTACCTAATGCATTTATCAAATGAAAAACAGAATGAAGCAATGAATGCTACTTTGAATTTTTTTCAAGGTGACCTGCTCCTAGTCACAAAACAAGAAATGAAATTATACTTAAAATAGAGCTGGCAGCTATTTTAGTTCTCTAAGATGCAACCAATTGGTTTTAAAACCAAGAATTCTGAAAACTTGTAGTATTATCACTTAGTATCTGGATTCTAACTAGTGATCAACAAAGTAGCAGATGTAATATTTACAAGTAGTGAGAATATCAGGGTTAGAGGTTTTTGGGGTCCTACCCTGTTCTTTCCTCCCTCATTATTTTGGCTTCTTGGCTAACCCAGGCTGTGCCTGTCATAGAGAGAAACTGAGCTGAAAAACATTAAAGTGTTAGGAAGATGTGTTTCACCGTCTATTAGGATAATTTACAAAAAAATTATTAGGTACATAATCAGGAATTGCTGAATATGAGATCTGGGCAAGTCATTCTCTATATTGTGTTTTACGTAGCTGGAAAATAAAAACATTTAAATCTTAAAGAAGACAGTGTTATGAAAGTACTTTTAAAAATGAAAGGTACACAGTACCTAGCAGTTCAAAATGAGGCTGCCAGAGACTATTTAGTGACAGAAAAAAGTCTGGGGAAAAAAAGAAATAACGGGTAAACAAATGATGCCTCCCATAGCCATAAATCCCACCAACAGTCACCAAAGCAATATTATGAGAATCCCAGGTGAGGGCAAGCTGCCTCTTCCCAAAATTGAACTAACGCTATTCTGAAACTGAAGCCCTCGCAAAACTTCAGTCAACAGGCTGGAGAGACGGCACTTCCCATGATATTTACAGTACCTTGGCTGGATGCAGATCAACACCATACATGGACAGCCGCTTCGCATTTTCTAAGAACTGAGAATCAGCTTGTGCTGGAGATAAGCCCCTAAGAATCGAAAGAAACAATATCATATCATGGATGGATGCAAAGCAAATGTGGCGCAAATGGGAAAAGGAGTGCTTGAGCATGGAGAGTTTAGGGTAGCAGGAATATTCCAGCTTAACTGGCAGACAAGTAAGGAAGAGGTAAGAAGACTCGACTGTCAACCTCTAGCTTTCTTAAGATTCTCTAAGATAAAACTGTTTGTTGCAAGAAAGTACGAAACTCCACCTTTACCATTTTAGAAAAGTTGTTTCTGGTTGTTTTCGGGGGGAAGAGGAAATACCAGCAATGATGGACACAACAATAAATTAACTAAGAATGAAAAAGCGATGTCATTTTTGTGAAATGAGACAATTTCATACTCCATAATTTTATCTCACCAGATTGACAATATGAAAATCAGAAATATTTGTATTTTATTTTATACCTATGGTAGAGAGCCCCTATCATATTCTGTCCAGAATGACTATTTCCACTCCTATTTATATCCCCAACTAAAAAGTTCTAAGTACCTAAAGAATAGGATCATGTCCATTAATCTTCTGATCCTCCATAGCATTTTAGTACTTGATATTTCCAATTCAAATTATATAATAAATGTATATTGAATAGAATTGGAATAAAGCTAATAAAATATTGAGTCAAATATAGCATTTACTATTCTTTTTTTTTTTTAATATTTTTTTTTTTTTTATAGAGGCATGTTTTATTTATTTATTTTATTTGTTTGTTTGTTTTGTTTTTACATGCACTGGGTACAGTCAGAAGTGCGGGAGGGTGAGAGAATTCACCAGAGCCAGAGCAGGAAGCAGAGCAGGCAGAAGGACCGAAGCACACCGCTGAGGGGAGCAGCGGGCGGCAGGAGAGGTCTGCGCGCCATGTGGGACCCTCCTCTGGTGGCCGGGGAGCAGCCGGGGATCGAACCGGCGCCACAGAGGCCGCGGGCAGCTTCGCAACCCAGCGCTCAACCGCTGCGCCACCGGGGAGGCCCTACTATTCTTTTTTAAAGAAAGGTCAATGAATGTGGTCTGTTTAAAAACTGCTATTCTCTAAAAGTTCCTTTCAAATCATTTTAACTAAAATTTTATAAACTTTGTAACATGGGACCAACTATAAATTTGTAAGTGTTCGTAAAATCTCTGCTTAATCAAACAAGTATTTTATTTTCACACAAAATAAAAGTTCTCAAAGTGTACTATGATATTTAAGTAGTTAAGTAATCCTTAAGTAAATGAAAAGGTCGCCTTTTGTGACCAGAGAAACCACTTGTATGTTTTGGTTACTAGCCCTACATCCATTACCACCCACATTCTGATTTAAATACTCATGCCTTGTTACTGCCCTAGTTTTCTTATCAAATATGGCAGAATATAGATGCCAGAACACTGGTTGTATTATTCCATTGTATTCCAAAAATATAGTTCAGTTGCATTCAGCTGTGGGTATGTTTGTTTAAAGTGATATATGTGTTGAAGGATAAGATTGGGCGTAGGAAGGAGGTACCATCGGGAAGAGTGTATTGAAAACATTTAGCCGCCTGAGCAGAGTTCCTTATATTATGGTCACAAAGACAATGAAAGGCTATCTCACAGGCTGCAGGCTGCCTTGATTAGTACTGGGTGAAACTCCAAAGGGAAAAATTGGACAATCCCATAAATAGTGTTCAAAGGTCTAGTAAGTGCTATAAGAGAAGCTACTTAAAACTACCAAGGCCATTTCTGCTCCAGGAAGCAAATCAACACACCTGTGGGTTTTATGCAGTTCTGCTACCTTTTCTTCCAGCTCCTTAGTCTGAGTGGGAGCAAACTGGAAGTCACTGAGGTCATTACTGCCATGTTCTTCTGGGTCATAGTCTCCAAGTTCAGCCTGCAGAGTGTAAGATCCCAGCAGAGCATGCGTCACAAAGGAGCAGGGCAGGCGGCCAGAGACAATGTCCTGCCGGAGCTGAAGGCACAAGAAGTATCTGTGAGGAGCAGGGGGAGAACAGTTAGTTAACAGCACAGCACTCACAATCTTCGAGTTCTACTATTACTTTGAAACCACACACACAACATCAGCTCTCTTCTTATCCACAGCAAAACAAGTCTTCTCTAGTAAGAAGCCTATCTTCCATTGAGGACTTCTAACCTGTGATTTAGTAACAGAAACTAAATCTACAAGATTAATGGAATGGAAATTCTGAACCACTGTTCTGGAAAGAGTGCACGTTACTATTATAATAAAGGGTTTGTGATGGAAGGTAAAATTTCCAATCACTTGGAAGATACTTGGATTCAAAACTGTTAATCAAAATTAGCATACTATTCAAAAGTTGTGAAGATTAATGAGATTTTCTCAAGAGCTGCAAATCTTAAGTTTTTGTCAGAAAAGCTAAGGTCATCCACCGCTTATTCTCCTAGTTTTCTAGAAATGTACACAACTGACAGTTCTCTGTGGCTTTATGAATTGCCTTTTAATATAAAAATCAACCTTTTCAAACCTCCTCTCACTAGAGTTAAAACGTCCTATAAGTGGACAAGGCAAAGATATCAAGGCACTTGTGGATTTAAATGTTCCTTGATAGCCAAATAATCAGTTACTTTCAGAATCAATAAATGCACTCTTGCTTCTTCCTACTACACTGAATCTTTTATTTGCAACTTAAGCACATTTATAGCTAGGACAATCTCAGAAGAGATAGAAATAAAACAGCTATTGACACTTAGGTAAGAAAGTCTACCCTTTATCCTTTCCCTTGAGGATGGGGGAGGGATTATAATTCAATTCACATTTAAAAATACTTTTATAATAATAACAGTACAAAACACAACAACGCAAAAACAGACAACTATAAACCAGAGACATACTGCAGGGGAGGAGGAGGGAGAGGAAGGGAGGAGCACAGGGGATTGAGGTGATGGTGCTTGGGTGCCTTGGGGAAGGAAATTCTATGGGGACTCAATCTGAGGGGGTGGGGGGAAGCAAATATTGTTTTAAAAAAATAAAAAAAAAAACAACAAAAAAAAAAATACTTTTGCATTTCTACCCCATATCACCTTTTAACTTGTAAATACAATAAAAACCATCATGGCATTAAAATCAAATATTAAATATCAATATTTTTGAAAGTTGTACCATAGGAAACAAAGCTGCATTACTCAAATGTAAATGCAGAAATTAAATAAAATTGAATAAAAATTTTTCAAACTGGCAACATTTCCAACTATTTTGTAGTATTCATTTTCAAGGAAACATCTAAATTCAACTTGTAACAAAGTGTTTTGGTTTTATCCTAAAATTGCCACCATCCCCCTGGCCACAGAAATGAATAAAAACTAAGATTTACTTTCAAATATAAATATTAAGCACCTGGTGATATCTTCAGTCAATTGAGAAGGATCAGGAGGATAAAACTTCACATTAAAGGTGAACAGCCAGGGCAGATCTGTAATTATTAAAAACCATGGTTATTTATCCAATGAATAGAATGACTGACCACTTGTTTTGATAAAACTTAAAGGTCAGTGTACAAACAAAACAGACTAATTCCACTATATATCAGTTTGGAAATAGTCAATATTACAAGTTAAAATGCTGTCATTTATATACATTAACATTTAACTAATGTTTGATATATATGTTTTAGATGATTTAAAAAAACGTGTGGGCCTCCCTGGTGGCACAAGGGATTGAGATGCAACCTATGAAGCTATCCACAGCCACTGCAGCATGAGTTCGATCCCCGCCCGGGGAGCTACCCACATGATGCAGCAGACCCTCCCCTGAGAAAAGGACAGGAACTTATTTCTCTAAAGGGATCCAAATAATTCCACTGGCCTGAATTTAAAATTATGCTCAAAATTCACAGTATTTCTAAATAAAAATGAGAGAGACAGAGTGTGTGCATGTGTTATTACATCCTACACATTTTTTGAAGTTCTCACAATTGCTTTTATTTATGGACTTGAAAAATTTCTTGAATCCCATTCTCTTGGCTCAATATGTCATTTTGTCCTATTCTCGCCATCAGCACACTCACGTTCTCTCAAGTCAACTGATAATTACTGAATTGAATGACTACTGCAAACACACACACATACTTGTGATGGATTTGGCCTCAACACAGCACCATTCTATTAATAAAGTCACTCTTGTTAAATTTAAGAAACAGATTTCAGTTCTGCTTTATATATATAAAAGATAATGGGATATAGAACTTTCCTGAATATGTACTTGGAGGTGACTACCAACCCACAACTAAATAAAGTCATTGCGGGATTGTATTTCTTAATGGATCCTTACTTGTTTTCCAGGCATTAACAGTAGCACATGCTTGCCTGGATATGACTACAGAGATAAGTGTGTAACACATGTATTTTAAAAAGCATTTCCAATTGCAAAGTTGATAAAATATACCAGTACTACTGAAATTTTTAATTTAACTATATGCTCTTATCAAAATTTTACCAAGCTAAGTATAAGTAGTCCATCTAGTTATGGATTGCTTATATGATTTTCTTAAATCTTTTTATGGGTTATTTATGATTTTAATCACAGACGAGCACTAGATATGTACTTATATCTATATAGTCTTGCATGCATTTGAGGGGAAAAAAGGCATATTTTACAAAAGAACCAGGTTACTGGTTGTCAAAAGCATTAAGAATTAAAATTTACCTTTGACAAGTGTCTAACAACTGAAAAGTACAATAAAATCACACAGGGGCTGGGCTAAGATGGAAAAAGCAGCTCTTCATTCATTTTAACATAAGAGGTCAGTACAATTGCTGAAAATCCATTTCCTCAGCCCACTTTCATGATAGACACAGCACAGGATTCCATTTAAAGAACTAGCTCCACTCATTTGAATAAGTCAAATCCTATTTGTTAATGTTATCCCTTTTGCCAAACCACAAGGGCAAAAGTCCTGAAATAACTAAAAGAACTTCACAAATAATCAAAACATAAGTCATTATTCATAATCAGCAAGAGTTTTGCCTTCCCAAAATTAGGAAATCTCTATGATTCTGAAATGAGTGGCACACTAAAATAAACAAACAAAAGTGAAAACAAAACCAAAGGAAACAACTCAATGAATGAAACATCAATCATGTTTCAGAGGTTATCCTGTTCTCTCTAGGGTTTGGCAGGTCTGATTTCAGGGAAAGTGAAACAATCAAGCATCTGTACCTTCTTGCAGAGCATTTAACAGCTGTAGAAGGGACAAAGAATCAATTCCAAAGTTTTCCAGCAGTTTTATCCTTAAGTTAAACATAATATATTGGATCTACTTATTCCATTTTTTTTTCTTCTTCCCTTTTCCATCATGAAGCAAACATAAATGGATAAAACACCAAGATAAGAAGAACAGATGGAAGGGAGAGGGTGCGGAGGGCAGGGGGAGACCGCATGAATGCTGTAAAGTCAGGAATCACAATCAAAAGATAGATGACAACTATCCCATTTGCCTGGACCTGTTCCAGTTTTAGCACTTGAAAGTCCTATATCTTGAGAAACCCTTGGAGTCCTTCAGTTCTTAGCAAATTGAGAAGGTCACTGTAATCACTGTAATCAAAGATATAAACATAAAGAAAACAAAGAGGAGACTAGAAGGAGAGAAAATGGGAAAATAAAGTATATGCTCAGAATTTAAAAAAAAAAAAAGGCTAGAAGACAACCAAAAAGATTAATAATTTTTGAGAAAGAAAAATGAAAACACAGGTGGAAAACCTTGAAAGAGGAGACAGAAGGTAGATGGAAAGGAACAGAAGGGAAAATATAGATATGTTCCAGCATTTCCTTATTAGGAATAAGAAGCAGGGAAGTGAAACAATACAAAAGGCATTCTGCAGACAGCACTCAAGGAACTGGTTTCTCCCTGGACTGCCCTGGGGACAACAGTCCAGCAGAGCTGGTGCGAATTTTGTTCTCCTGCTTAAAAGTTCCAGCTGTTCATGATTCCTTACCTTTCTGCTTTGATCATTCAGACCCTGAAATAAATGACATATACAGATCCTTATGGGAGAATTTTCTGTGATGATAATGTTTCCTGGCACAGATCTCACAAAGCCATAGACAAGGCAACCTGCAGAGGCAGAATGTGTGGAGGGAGCGGTTGCCCATGCAGGTGGGACACCAGCAATCACATGGGGTGTGTGGGGCCCAGTGGACTGTGGAGGTACACTAGGTGCCTTGATGGTGGGTGTGGTGACACAGATCTGAAAAGGAGTGAACCTAAACCACTGAATCATATACAGTGCAGTATAACATCACCTCAATTAAAAAAACAGAATTAAAAAATAAATATACGTCACTGTGGGAATGTACAGTGAGAACAAATGGAGAGATGGAAGAAAAGGACAAGCAGGATTAACTACAAATACAGACTCAAACAGCACAAAATTGTCTTGGACTGTGGGACAGAGCTGCAGAGAAGGCGATGACCTCAGAGGATGGAGAAGATTGTTCTGCGTGCTTTTCACTCTGGAATCCTCTCTCCAGCAGATCCATGAACAGAGTATATATAGGCATCCAGGGTTAAAGATACGCTTATTTATTAAACTATATATTTCCAAACTTAAGTAGACAAAGCAACTGTCATTTAGCTAGAATAAAATCTACATAAAAATAAAAGTTACAGGAAAGCAGCGTCTCATTCTTTTCCCCAGAGAAAAAGATCGGGTATTATTTCACAGTGGTAGACACTGTGAGCAAATATTCAGGAACATGAGTCTAGAACCTGTGGACCTTCAGGAGCCCCTAAGTCATGAACAAAGCAAATAGTCATGACTGTACACAACTATGGTTAATATCCTTAACTTCCTATCTGATATAAATGCAAGCTAGAGCTGATCATTCCATCACTATTTTTATTCTAATCTAAATTCCTATAAATTTTATGAAAGACAGAAATAGGTAGATGCAGATTAACTTAATCATACTTCAAAGTATGATCATTTAAATACTCACTTCGCAGTTGTCTCTTTATTTCTTTTGCAGGATCTAACCAGTTCTGCAGAGAGAGGAGGAAAAAGGTTAATTAACCCATAAGTCATCTTCCAGAGTCCAAAATGGAACAGTTTATAGTTCACACTCATTTAAGTATAAACATATTTAATAAAGTGCTATTCAGAGCAGCTCTCACCTATTAGCATTCCATTGGGCTAAGGACTGATTTGTTTTTTAATATACTTGCTATAAATAAAATATTAAAACACTTCTAAGGTCAGTGTCTTGGGTCTAATTTTCTTGGATCTGAAAATTAAACACCTCTCCAAACTACGAGACTTATCTACATAAAGCCCTTATTTTATGTTGGAACAACAAGCAAACAGGCACTGTGGACAGTGAAATGAGATATGAGTCAAGGACAATAACTGGTTCTAATTCATGAAGTGTGAACTGCAAACCACTACCTAAAAGAATATACACCCCAATCAAACAAGTATCTTGAGTGTTAAGCCAAACCTTCCTTAACCCTTTTCTCTCCTGCAAAATGTTCAATATTGTGAAGTATTGTCCAAATCTTCCTTCCAATATCTTCCTTCCTGATCTTAATGTAATATCCCCCTTTCTTTTTTAACTTCATTACAAGTTGGAACTCATAATGATAAGGAACACCCTTTCACTTTCCCCTGATTTCTAGCATTAAGAAAGTTAACATAACATGATTATAGGCAACCATTATATCTTAAAGCAAAATAACAAAATTTGAATCACTAGGTTCAAACCACCTAAAGGACATTAAATATTTGACCTCCAAAGCTATAGGTAAAAGACAATGTTTTAATATACAACTCAACTCATATATGTGTTCAAACACAATTCGTATATGTGGGTTTTTTATATATATATATTGTACCTTGTCCTCAATTCATTATTAAAATTCACCTACCTTCTTCACTAACATAAGAGAGTGCATACATTTCTTGAAATGTAATAAACGGGTTCAAATAACTGGCTTTACAATAAATTCCATTCATTCTTAAAGTCTCCCAAATAATGAATTATGACATCTGTGCTTAAATATAATTTGATTTAGATACACAGAGCAAATAGTTTTTGTTTTTAGAAAATAGAAAATAATGACCTCATATCTTAAAGATACACTGAAATAGTATGATAATAACATTAATTTACACTATTAAAAAGAAGTAACAACAGAATGCTTTGAAAGCAAAGCTGCATGGACCCCTGTGGGTTTACTACCCCATTCAAACCTACCACCCCCACACTTAAGAGCAGCAAAGCTCCAAGGTGTACAAGGCTCTGTCCTAACACTGGTTATATTCAAACCTCTCAATAAAGAACCACCAGCGCTTGGTCCACTTTCCTATTACTTGTGTCCCAGCTGCATGGGCCATTGATGTGAAGGGCCAGTGGGACCCTCTAATGGTAGCTCCGTGCTCTGTTGGGAAGCAGCTCTAATTCTTCCGTCAGAAAAGAGCCTGGCATTCAGCTTCCATGCGCCGCAGCTGCTGCCCCACAACAGCTGGCTCACAAATGGCCGGCTATGATGAGCACGTAAAAATGGAGAAAACACGTCATTCAGTCCCTAGCCCAGACAGAGGAGGGGATGGGTGTGAGGAGGAGGGTTGAATGTGTTGTGACATTGCATCCAAGGAAGTAACAACCACAGCAAGAAGACAGAGAGACAACTGGTGCCAAACGAAGAGAAAAAATTCCCTCAGAAAACTAATACAGAGAAAATGCAGGGGAATCTAGTCTTACATGCCTAGACAGACCCTTTCCAAAGCTCCAGTTTCACGAGGTGACAGGTGGTCACCTAGATGCCTGCGACAGGAGAGCAAAACGAGACCTCTAACTCTTCCAGGAGAGGATGGTAGAAGCCACATTATCTTCTCTGCTCCCCACCTCTACTCGCACCCCCAAGGAACACCCCACCCCTGGCTGTTTGGTATCTTCCATTTTCCACTGCAGCACCAACCCCTTGAACAAATTACCCAAGAGTATCTGCACAGCATAGAGAGCACTAAGAGAGTCTGTAGACCCAGGAGCATGTATGACAAGTTTCCGTGCACTGGCCAGCCCAAGTGAGACTCAGTGTCACTTTTGGGTCACTTCCTACAATATTGCCAACCACATATTAAAAGACTGAAGTGGCTTTATTTCTTAACTCTAGACTGCTATCCAAAGACGAAGCAGACAGTTTATATGCTGTGATCGAGCAGCTGAAATAAATCCTTCCACTCATCTACCTGGGTTTGCCTTCACTAACCACACTTACTTCCACACTGTGAGTTCCATGCCCACCATGGAGTAAGGAGTTCTTCCGCTCCCTGAACTACAACTTTGCAAGGACCAGAGATAGACTGCATTCTCGTATCCTCCACACCATACTACATAATTTTAGGTAATAGCAAATACTAAATTAATACCTGTTAACTGCTATCGACCTATTGCTTGCCTCGTCCCTTCCCATGTTACGGTTAGCTTGAAAAAAAGATCTCTTTTGGGCTTCCCCTGGTGGCACAAGCGGTTGAGCACTGCGCTGTGAAGCTGTCCTCAGCCTCTGCAGCGCGGGTTTGATCCCAGCCAGCCGGCAAGGGTCCCACATGGCGAGCAGACCTCACCTGTCTCGCCCACTACTCCCCTCAACAGTGTATTTCAGTCAGTTTGCCTGTTCTGCTCCCCACTCTGTCTCTGGTGAATTCTCTCACCCTCCTGCACCTCTGGTTTGTACCCCAGTGCTTGCATAAATAAATATTTTTTAAAAAGACTCCTAAAAGATACAAATCTTTTATCTGCAATGATTATAAGTAAATAGTAGATATAAAGCTCTAACAAATCAATAAACATTTAGGTATTGACATTTGATGAGGAGTAGATTGGGTAGATCAGGAAGCACACACAAAAAAGAAAAAAGACATGAGAGAATGATACAAATGCACATATGTGTTTGCATGTGTGCGACCAGACACACCCTTGAGAGATTAGTGTATCAGTCCCATTTTTTCAAAGATTTAGCTACCACACATAAACATTTTAGATTCAGAATAGAGGAAAATTCAGGCTTTCCACCAATTCTGAGATGTTAGGCTTATTATCCCTTGGCTTCTTTAAGCCTCAGTGTCCTCACCTGTAAAATCAATAACAATACCAGTATCAGGGTATTTGTTTTTAATCATTCATTCAAATGATTCCTGAAAAGTAAATATATATGTAATGTACTTTATCCCAGAGCCTTTGACAGAACTCAGCATTTATGTTCTTAATGAACATCAAATAGGAAATTAACAAAAGTTAGAAAGAATCCTATAGCAGGCTTTCAATAGAAACAAAATTCAAACATGGTCCTAGAATGTCAGTGTCTTTAAATCTCATTAGAACATGAAACTGGGATTTGATGAATCATTTTCACTAACCTCAAGCTAAAACTTACCATGATCGTTAATGATGAATGTAAAAGGAAAAAAACTGGTTAATATTAGCAGTACTTTTAACGTTGTCAAAAATATTTTCATATCATATCATTTATGTTAATCAATATTTTGAAATCATAACAGGGATTAGATACTGATGTCAATAGAAAAGCACACCTATTACTTTATCCAAAATTTGTAATTAATACTTTGAGAATGTTGTTTATTTATCTGGCTTTCTTTGTAGACTGGTACTAGAACATACTTATACAATTAAAACATTATTGTGAGAACCAGCCCATAAAATTCACCACACTGACTAAGGAATCCATGGCCCAAAAGAAGGTAAAGGCCTGCCAGAGAAGTTAATGGAAATTTTTAATTAATTAGCAAAGCGAACAGCTAGCTATACAAATATGTATTTTCACACTGAAGTCCTCTCATCAGTTAAAGAAGATCTTTAATCCTACTTTCTATCTATACAAATCTGAGCATGAAAGAGTTGGTTAACAAAGTCTTCTGGCATTTTCCTATATTTTCAATACTGGTTTTTCAGAAAAATCCCTAACAACAGAAACATCTAGAAAATATATAAGAGCCTTATATTTGTATTCCTAGCATGCTAGTGTTAAAAAAAAGTGCCAGACTCTATATGTTCCAAATTTCCAAGGTAAATGGCTATGAGTATTTGAACATGTCTGGAAACACTTAGGTTATTGGGTCCCTACCTCCTCTGGCTTTTGTGACATTCCAAACTCCTATAAATTTCTGCCATCTCAAAAGACACTTATCCCTAGGTCAGTGCTTCTCAAGCTTTAACAGTTTTATGAATCACACAAAGATCTAGTCAAAATGAAGAGTACAATTCAGTAAGCCTATGGTAAAGAAATTCCTCATTTCTAAGAAGTTTCTAGGTGGTGCCAATGCTGCTGGTGCCTGAATCACCTCTTGAGATGGTTAGTCCTACATTTCTTCAATGGAGAAATTCCAGTCTTTCCCTGAAAGTCAAATGTAAAAACACCTTTTATAAACCTTTAACTGGCTTGTCAAGTAATTGCTCACTCTTCACTGGCTAATATTCTAATTGTTGACAGCCACTTGCAGGATGTCTGAGCAGGGCACTGCTTCCACCCTCCCGGATCTCAGTATCTCTGAATTCCTCCCCATGACACTAAGAGGTTGCATTAAAGATTATCATAACTCAGACTTTTTTTTTTTTAAAGATTTATTTATTTATTTATACAAGCACTGAGTATAGTCAGAAGCGCGGGAGGGTGAGAGAATTCACCAGAGCCAGAGCAGAGAGCAGAGCAGGCAGACTGACTAAGTACACTGCTGAGGGGAGCAGCGGGCGGCAGGAGAGGTCTGCACAACATGTGGGACCCTCGCCCGGCAGCCGGGGATTGAACCTGCGCTGCAGAGGCTGCGGGCAGCTTCACAAGTCAGTGCTCAACCGCTGCACCACCAGGGAGGCCCACTCGTAGACTTTTTATTCTCGTAAAGAACTAACCTATTTCACTTGACAAGAGATGAAAACCAGAGCCGTCAACCTACTAGCAGTCTGAGTGTACAGCTGTCCATCATGGGGCCTCCAGCCATGCCAGGAGTAAGTAACACCACCAGATACAGT